TTCGAGGACCTTCCTTTTCAACCCAGGTCCACGAGCTTTCGATCCAAGGCGTGCACCGGCCGCCGTGGGGGCGTTGCCAATTTTTTGCCTGGGATCCACCGTGGCCAGGTGCGAGCTCTGGGTTGACTCCGATCCAAACACTGGAGGAGGTCCCGGTAGACCGTGGTGACAGGTCTTGCTTGCCGTACGCCTAAGGCGGCCAAAGTGCTCCGTCTTGTCCGCACCTGAACACGTCACTCCTTGCCCACTGCGTTGTGCAAGATTGCCTGAGGCGTTGAATCCATTCCTTTACAAGGTGAGACTTTTGCCTAGGCCTCAACGTGTTGACAGCCTTGCTTTGTGAGGCTTGAAGGCCATCGAGCTCCAGAGTCTTGTCACCCCCGCTGTCAATAGATCGAAATGTCGGCAGTGGCAGTGACTGTTTCGGCCAAATAATCCAAGGTTTCTTCCCTGCCCCTTTCTGTGATAATTGTTGGAAGTAGCAACGCAGATTTCAAGAGACACATGTTTCACCATGCTTCGAGGGTTTCTCTGAGTTCGGCCCAGTGCACGTCTGAGGCTTCACCTTCTGGCACGAGAGGAATTCCAGCGTGGCCCCTGGGAATCTGGGAATGTATTTTTTCCAATGCGCCTTACAATTACATATTCAGAATGCTGAAGCGTTTTCCCCTTTGATTCAAACCTCGACTTGGCGTTTCCTCCGGTTTTCCGCCTGTACCCGCCTCGCGAGATTGACATTGCAACACTGCTGACGACATCTGGTTGAGCGCAACTGAGCCAACGTGTGCAGCTCTTCGTTTCGCATGCTTTGAGGACAGGTGAGAGCTTATTCACCAGCACGAGCTTGGAGGCGATCTTGCGAGTCGCAAGCTTCAACTTGAACCAATCAGTGCTCTTTCAGGTCCTGCCTCCCGCGGAGGCATGGGGTATGCGGATGTTACGCAAGTTTGGGTTCTGCCTCTCAGTTCAGGATCATTCCCGTCTGGCCACTGCCGAATATGGCCTGCCAGAGGTGGATGAGCTGCCGCTCCCGCGGGTTTCTTCTTTCGATCCGCGGGAGCGCGGGTCCGCGGAGTGCGCTCGCCAGGTTAATGCCCCAGCCGCAGTCCCTGGATCTTGCAGTTGACGCCTCAGGTTGAGCGCGGAGACTGCTTGGCTTCGGGGATTTGCAGAGCCCAGAAAAGGAGCCGTAAATATATAGCCTCTCTTCAGGCTGTGGCTGCTACATGGAACTGGTTGAAATGCTGATCGACCTCTTTGATTTTCGAGTGACAATCATCGAATCAGTGGTCAGCATTCGCACCAAGCAGAGTACATTGGTTTTTGCCTGGAGTCAAACAGAGACAACTCAACATTGGAAAGTATTTGGTTGGAGCTCACAGCAATGCCTCTGCTGCCGGGCAAAGCATTTGCAAACAATGTTATCATGACCTGACTAATTACCTGACTCACTACCTGACTGGCGCCCTTTAGGCTTTGACACAGCTTCTTGGACGTGCTGGTGGCATGTTTTGCAGCCTGCCTGTTGCATTGGATCCAACCCTCTTCGCCTGTTCAAGACGACCTCTCGGCTTTAAGGCCTTGGAGGAAACCAGAGGGAGGGGGTTGGATCCTATCGCACTGCCGTTCGGCAGGTACCCCTTCGAGTGGCGAACCCCTCAGAGGCTCTCCGTTTTTTTTCCTTCATTTTTTTTTTAAAATTTTCTTTTTTCCCCCCTTTTCGGCCGACCAGGGCACCGACCCGCATCTCCCTTATTGTGTGGCCCTCAGCTCTCTGGCAACGCCTATGCCAAGTGCCGAACGTCCGGGGTTCTTTTGCGTAGGAAATCAAGCTTGGAGCATCCAACTAGTTTGGATGCTGCTCTGGCTGTGGCTCAAAAAGATGTACCCAAAATGGGACCCTTGGCAAATGGAACCAAAGACCAAACCTGCGGTTTGCCCCCACCTCAGAAAGGTTTGAGCGACACCCATGTGGCCATGGGTCGAAATCCCGTACCCCCAGTGAACATCCCAATCCCCACTAAAATAAACTAAAATGGGTGGTGCACCTACCCCAAAAATGTTACCATTGGTGTTGACCTTCGGCCATGTGTGAGCCGTGTCCTTGGACTGAGGTTGGTCCTAGTTGGAGATGAGCCGCCGGCAGAAGCGCCGTCGCATGTGTGGCAGGTGTGGCGTTGGAGATGAAGTCCAGAGGATTGGGTGTCTTTGTTCGAGGGAGCCTTTGTTGTGCGTTTTGGAGTGGAATCAAAGGGCGCCCTCTCTTTTTTTTAATCTTTTTTTGGGGGTCCCTATGTCAAGATACATCCATTGAGGCCGGGGATTGCATTTAGAATGATTGCCAGGTGTCTCCAGCCGGCTTCGAGCGGCTCCATGCGAGTGGTTGCCAGGAGTGAGTTCAACTGATGCTTCACAGGGGGCAGCTGGAAGGTGCTTTTCATTGTGAAAGGCATTTGCATGCGCTCCCCCGATCTGCAGATTTCAAAACAAATTTAAGAGAAGCGGAGAGGGAGATATGAGGCAGTTGGGCCAAGGATTGACACGATATGCAAGCGTAGATAAAGCAGCAGTGTGCCAATGGATCAGCTGTTCAGGAGTGCCAAGTTGGCCACAAAGAAGGCGTTCGGCGCGAAGAAAGTACGGGGCGCCGTCAAACTGGCGGCCAAGCCAAAGGATGTTGCGAAGGAGAAGAGGCACTTGCAATTCAAATTCGTCGGAGGCCAGCGCGCCCTCAGAGGAGGCTGATGGCATCTCCGATCGCTGCGTCAAAGGCATCTATCCTGAATTCGGTACCGTCCAGCAGCGGTGTACAAAGCAAGCAGCTACGTTTGCGCTTTCTGTGTGGTTGCGCAAGAACAGACTCAATATCGTTATGGCAACCGCCCGCCGGCTCTTGCCCTCCACCTGTCCATTGCTTCGGCGTGCAACTGACATAGAAACGCGGACCTTCTGACGTCCGCGTTGCATACCGTTGCGCAACAGACCAACAAGTCAGAAACTGCCAAAGCCCCGTGCTGTTTGAGCGCCTGATCCCACCTCTCCGTTCACGGCTTCAATCCGCTCTTTTTCCTTGCCTTCTGCCTGGATTGCGGTCCACAGTTTCGAGCATCACCTCTCAGACTCACAGCTTCGTCGATATCGCCCCCAAAGCCGATGGCATGAATCATGAGTCAAGGAGTCTGCGCTGCGCGGCGTGAAGAACCTGACACCTGAAGGCTGCGCGGGGTGATCTACCGTGTAGAAAGGCAAGATAGACGCACACGCGCGCACCTCAAACCGCTGACTAGCAAGTAGTGGGTGATTTTCATGACGCTGCCAGGAGTTTGTGGAGCTTACCCCGCACTTCCCGCTACGCGGGTGCCGGTTGTTCTGCGCCTTTCTCTCAGTTTCACATTGGTTGCACCGCGCTCTCGGGAGAGGCGCTGTACCGAGGTGGCATATCGGCTTTCACTGCCGGGCTGCCGAGCATTTGGTGCAGCTTGTATTGTTTTTTGGGGGGTATTTCGCAGCACCTTTTGGTTTTGCCACGCAAGCAAGCGCTGGAAACAGGGTCAGACCGGATGAGCTAGTCGTGCCAGTCCGCTTTGTGGTGCGTATTCTTTGGACAGACCTCAGTTAGTTTGAGGCCTGTGATCACGGGCAGCGTCTACCAGAAGTTCTACACACAGCTTGCGCCTCATTGAGGCGAAAACTGCTACTTGTGACTCGTCAGTTGGAGCCCGCTTCTCAACATTGATCTCTTACAAATTGTATGAGTGCCGTAATCCAAGGGCAAACACACAACATTCCCTTGAGCAGCAAAGGCAGCCCTGATGGCCAATTGTGTAGATGCCAATCCCCATAAATGAATCAAGTCGAGCTCACTAGCTCAAATCCTCTCCAAGTTTGCGCATGCCGCCCAATGGAAACAGAACGATGACAGGCGAGTTGCAAGATGTGCCGCGAAATCAGCATGGTGTAGATTTGGTGGAGTTCAGATGTGGAAGACGCGGAACATGGAGTCATTGTGACTTGTTATCAGACCAGTTGCCTAGGATAGTCTTCCCATCCGCGCTCTTCCCGTAGTCTTCCTGTATTCTTGCCGTAGTCTTCCCATTGTCTTCCCGCAAACTTTCAACAACAGCACTCTGACACCATGTATGCAACACACTGAACCTGGGCCAAAGCGGGCGAATAGACATGTACGCAGATGAATAGTGATAGTATGTGTTCTGCGGATTGTGGATCGGAATCTGTTGATGTCCAAGAATGACAGGGAATGTTTGCTTGATGATTTCCACTTGTCGTTTTACCTGAGCTCCTAGCATCATCAACGACTATCACCGAAGGATCTCTTACCAAAAGAGCAGCAGATCATGACCCGTTGCACAGGCTTTTCCTGCACAGCCTCTTCGTTTCCTCCCTGTTTGAACACACCTGCTGCAACATTTAGTGACTATCCTTCGAGGTTTCTCATAGCACCAAGCAATGAGAATCTCGCGCTGAGTCAAGTTTTGAGCCTTCCTGATCCCTCTTGTGCCGATGCTGGGCCACTTGGGCCAGGCTGTTCGAGGTGGCGTAAAGCTGCATGCAGAAGGTCAACAGAAGAATGGGAACAAGAGCGGTATTGCGCCACTCAGTATTAGGCAGAAGATGCAGCTGGCCCACCCTGTTCAACCGGAACATGCATAGCTTCGGATGGTTGGCCATCAAAGCTGATTGAGCAACTGGAAGCAGCGTCTCTTCCTGGGTTCCCTCCCCTGGAAACAGACACACCCACATTCTGGCTGCATCTTGCCTCTGCCACCACAGTCAGCACCCGCGGAACAAACCGAGCAGGGCTTTTTCAGATTTCTGTCTTAGCGGCTGCGCCTTGCAAATCCGCCATGCCCCTGTGTGCCCCTCCGTGCCCCCCTTGTTCTCGTTTTTGGAGCTTCTTGTTCCCCCGCCCTTGCGTGCTGCCGGCAGAGTTGTGATGAATTTGGGGCTCGGTATGTTGATTCATGCAAAGCTGTTCCCAACCGAAGTGATTCTTTTGGGTTCCTTTGTGCATGTCTGGTGCCTAAGGTTTGTCCATGCTCGCTGCACAGCCGGGGTCCCATGCATCATTGCAGTCCCATATGCTCACGCGCCTGCCTTGCACACAGGTTTGCAAGACGTCATCGCCCGTGCCTCATGTAGAAGTGTTTGAAGTTTGAGGCAACTTCGGGGGAGTGAAGTTTTGGAGACACAATGTGTATATTATATACATATAGAGAGAGAGAGAGAGAGAGATAGAAGAAGGCACGAAGATAGAGGAGAAAAAGGACGAAACACAAGCAGGAAAGCAAAGACAGCGACAAATAGAAAAGGAATGAGATGGAATGGAATGGAAAGGAAAGGACACAAAACGAACGGACAAGAAAGGAAGGAAGGTGCAGTGGAGGGAAGGAAGGACGGAAATCAGGAGGAAGGGAGGGAAGGAAGGGAAGAAATGAATAAAGGAAGAAAAAATGACTTGAAGAAAGGGAAGAGGGGAAAGAGGAAGAAAGGAAGGAAGAAAGGAAGGAAGAAAGGAAGAATAAGAACGCAAAAAAGACATGAATAAAGGGAAGAAGGGAAGCACGGAAGAAATGAATAAAGGAAGAACGGACGAAAGGAAGAAAAGAGAAGAACAGAAAAGACACACAAATAAAGAAAGACAATAAAGAAAGAAAGGAAGGAAGGAACACAGCAAGAAGGGAAGAAAGGAAGAAAACAAGGCGGGAAGGTAGAGGGCGGGAGGGAGGGAGGGTCGGAGGGAGGGAGGGAGGATGGAAGGACGGAAAGACAAGGAAGAAAGGAAGGAAGGAAGGAAAGAAGGTAAAGGAAGGACAGAAAGACAGAAAGACAGAAAGAACGGAAACAAGACAGGATGGGAGACAAGGAAAGGAGTAAGGGCAACATCATGAGCCACTAGAGCAGCAGACTCACATTTAGGATCAGACGATGTTGATTTCAGTGCCGCCTGCCGAGTTCCATCCCAACGCTTTGCTTGCTTTGCGGCAAGTTTCTATGCTGCAACTCCGAGCAACCGCCTCAAGGGCTTCGCAAGTGAATGCGCCCTGGCGCTGTTGCATGCCGAGGTGCTGCAGACAGGAAGGAGACGGCGGCCAGATCGGGGAAGTAACGCAGCATGCGCAGGCTTCGCGGCATTTTCATCACAGCCCAACCTGGCCCAAGCTGCTGGTCAGGTGTGTGGCTTTGGAACCTGTGTTTTCCTCCAGCTTTCCAATTCGTTGACACCTCAGAGGTGTGCCTCCGGTTGCTTTCAAGAGCCTGGCCTCATTGATATTGATGGCTTAGGCTGGTGCACATTGTGACAGATGGATTCATCACGTGCCAATGGCTGAGATGTCACCGGAATCAGCATCCATGCAGACCTAAACTTGTGTGTTCCGGGCGACCTTCTCCCTCTCAGGCTGGGGATCCCTTTACTTAGATGGGCACGGTGAAGAGGAGCCCGGCTCCCAGCTATGAGGCCAAGACTTGAGGCCAAGGCTGCCAAGGCTTGACTTTTTGGAAGCAGCACGGCCGTTTTTGTGTGAGGTACACCCTCTCCAGACCGCTGCATATCTCCGAAGTCAGGCTGCAGCAGCTGACACAGCCTGGGACCCACCAGCTCGCAGAAATCCTGTAGGAAGCATCAGTGCCCAAAGTGATATGAGAGATTCTGCAAGTGCGGCGACCATCCCCAATTTCTGGCTTGTGACTTTGCAAAAAACATTGCAGACATTTGCTGGATGGCCTTGACACATCAGACGGATCAAAAGCTGCCGCAAGAAAAAGGTCGCCGAAGCACTGAGCGAGGTTGGTACGGGAGGTGGCCTTTGACTTTGAGCCGGTTGCTCAGAGAGCAATGCTCCCTGACCCGTTTCGATTCATTTTGCGGAGGTCCCGTTTGAAGTGGAAGAAGGTCATCTTCGCATCCTGGCTTACAACCCGAGCGTTCGCTTTGAAGGATCAATGAGTTTTGATGCGATGTACGATAAAGTTGGTGGCAAGTGCAGTTCGCAGTGTGCGAGGTGTGATCGCATCAGCGTCGCTGGTGCACTTCCGTGAGCATTTTGACCTGGGTCGGGGCTTGAAGGAGCACTCACGTTGGATCCACCGATTTGGACTGGCCCTCGACCCCTGTCAAAACCGAGCTGGAACCTCAGCTCCTGTACAAAGCAGTCCAGGCCGACGGGAGCCTGTCAGACATGTGGGCTTTGCTATTTAACGCCCCAATTCGCCTGGTCTTTATTGTGGCAAGATTGATCTGCCAGATAGCGAAAAGACGGAGCTGACAAGGGTTCTGTGGCTGGGAGACTGACGTTTTTCGCCACGCACGCACGGCGCGACGCGTGTTGAGCTTCTCAAGGCAGCGGTGTCACGCGCCCTGGGACCGAGCCAATGTACGGGCCTCCTGGAGGTCAGCCAAGACCACTTGGCACGCCAGTCTATGTTTCGAGGCCTTGGAGCGTCGCTCATGCAGTGCCTGTGGTACCCGGGATGCCTTCCGGGTGGGGGCCCGTGCCTGGTGTGGTGCACACGGTGCCCATCACATGGAGGCCTGCCGAGACCCGCTCCGCCCGCTGGATTGTGCCGCCGGTGGCGCCCGAACAGCTTCGGGCGCCGAGAGATAGCCAATATCGGCCGCCGCAGATGGGCCCAGCGCTTGCAACGCCGGCCGACAGCAGGGAAGCAACCATGACTACGGAGACATCGGGTGGCACTTCACCACACGGCTCCAGCCAGTCTTCCAATTCTGCCCGCGTGGCAAGCCCTGACACTGCAGCGGAAACAAGCCTGACCATGACCGAGCAAGCAGGCTCACCACAGGCTTTGCAGAAAAGGTCAGTTTCAAATCTTCTTCAGAATGCTTTCGGCACGGATGTGGGACAGAAAGCAGCTGAGCCTGTCAAGCCACTGGAGACGCAACCTGATCCGGTTCCCAGCACTTCGTCTCAGGTTTAGTTCTGTGGTCAGTCAAGCTACTGGATCCTTTTCGTTCGTGCAAGCAAATGTTGGGCTCAAAGGGTACCTTAAACGGCAAGATGGGCCCGCACTCACTTCGTGATCATTTGTGTGACTGTCGATTTCGAGTTTGTCGAGTTTGTCGAGTTTGCGGAGTTTGTCGACGTTTGTCTAGTTTTACAGAACTAGATTGCTTGTCACATTGTCGAGTTTTGTGTAAGACTAGACCCCTCGCAAAAACCTTCCGTCTTGTCGAGTTGATGCCTAGGTTCCAGCACGTTGGCGGCGCGGCATCGTGATCAGCCGGGGCTGGCCTTCTTTGCGGATGCCTTTGTGGCTGCCTGGCTCGCACAGACTGAGCAGATCTTGTTTGGGCTTGCGACAGTTGACAGGAAAGCCAGAAGCAGCCATCCAAAGGGTGGGGTTAGGACATTCTACAGGAAAACAGCTTAATTAGGGTGTTTTGGGGCCATTTGAGCCACAATCAAAACCAGGGTAGATGAAGGTTAGTAACGGACAGTCCCAGCCAGAAACAGCTGCGGCCGCCTTTGTATTTCCGTTTGAATACCGGGTTTTGATTGTGGCTCATTTCCTGTAAGCCCTTTGTGCCTTGGGGGTATGGCTCAAAATGAAAGAGCTGGGGTTACGCGGGTAGTCTTTGGTTCCATTTACCTTTTGGTGCCATTTTGGTACCGCTTTCTTGAGCCATAGAAAGACAATCGAGATTTGACCTTCGCGTAGGCTGGCGAGGATGAAGCCCACCTCGAGCGTGGCTGCAGGGCAACGGTGAAGATGCACGAGCTGCCCGCGGCAGGACCTGCGGGCATCGGGTTGACACACAAACAGAACGACATGCGTACGCATGTGGCTCAAATAAATGTACCAAAATGGCCCTTCGGTAAATGGAACCAAAGACTAACACTTGAGTAATTCTAGGTTTTTCATTTTGAGCCACACTCATATAAGATGTGCGTGCATACCTATGCACAAGCACAGACACACACACACACAGATGCACTCTCACACGCACTCACACAAACAGAGACACAGTGCAAACGCGCATGGACACAATCACCCGAACTAAGCGTGCACGCAAGCATATACGCACAAGCATGCGCACACACAAACACAAACACGTGTCTCTGTGTGTGTGTGTGGTCTTTGTGTTTGTGTTTGCCTGCGTCGCGTGCCTTCTGTATGTGCGTGTGTGTCCACTGTACGTGCGAGTGCTTGTGCCTCTGTGTGTTTGTGCGTGTGCGTGGTGTGTGTGTGTGGGTGCGTGCGTGCGTGCGTGCGTGCGTGCGTGCGTGCGTGCGTGCGTGCGTGCGTGCGTGCGTGCGTGGGTGGGTGGGTGGGTGGGTGGGTGGGTGGGTGGGTGGGTGGGTGGGTGGGTGTGTGTGTGTGTGTGTGTGTGTGTGTGTGTGTGTGTGTGTGTGTGTGTGTGTGTGTGTGTGTGTGTGTGTGTGTGCGCTCTTGTATTGATCCGAGTGTGTGTGTGCGCGCATGCGTGCTTCCGTGTTTGTGTTTTCAATCGCATAAACGCAAACTCACACAGAGACACACTCTTACACACACACACACACAAATATGTGCGTGCACACACACACACACACACACACGCACACAGACATGCGCACACACAAATATTATTATTCCGTCCAAAAAGTCTAGTGTAAACATATTGGACTTGGGCGACGCCAGTTTGCAACGATCCGTGGTGTGGATTCGAAGCTAGTCCAGACGCAGCCGTGGCGCAACCAACCACAGTGCCTGGAGCCACTCGGCCTGCCTCCGTAGCTCTAGCGCCCTCACAGAATGCTTGCCGAAGTTGATTGTGCTGAGATACGAAAAGGGGAATGATACCAGCTTGCCACTCCTGTTCCACGAGAGGCGGGCCATAGAACCCAAGGCCAACGCCGATTTTTGATTGCAATCGCCCACGCGGACGAGTGTGCAGCGTCGCTTCGTGCTCACGCGCGCGCGCGTGCGTGGTGTACACAAATATACCCACACATATTACGCAACAACACGCAGACGCACGACGCACGCAGCATATATGCCTTCATGCACGCGCGTCAAATGCGTGCGTGCGTATGCACGTGCTCGCACGCATCCCACCCACCCAGGCACCCACCCACCCAAAGCACCCACCCACCCAACCACTCACCCAACCACTCAACACCCAACCGCCCACCCAACTACCCAACCAACCACCCCCGACCCGACCTGACCTGCCCCGGCCCATCCGCCCGTCCACCCAAAAAACAAGCAAGCAAGCAAACAAACAAGCAAACACAGCACTGCATTCTTTCTTGTGCTGCTTGTGAAGGACGCCAACCTGATCTGGAAGACTCCGGTGAGGCCGGCTTATTGGCTTGCGTCGCGCCCATGCAACATGCCTTGGGCTTGGGGCCGTAGGCTGAGTGGCCACTGTGGACAGACCCCTGGCGGTCCGAGTCAGAAGCACCTGGGCTGGATACCACGTTTCTGTTTGGCCTTCTCTTGAGGCATCAGCATTGCATCAGCAGCCATTTCCGAGGCTGCTCGGGGTGGCGCCACGGTCTTTGTGCCCAGCGGGGCTGGAGTTGGATCGCCTTGCACCTTGCTTGCACGCACATTTTTTTGTAAGCCCGCTGAATGCCATGCTGCCGCTGGTGCTGGTTTTTGCTAGGCATTCGTCATTTCTTTGCAGCCACTTCTCCCATGGAAGCTGCCGAGGTATGTACTTTGTGCATGGCGGCGGTTTCGAGTGGGGCTCACCTCTGGAGGATGGCTACGACAGTCTTTGCTCCAGGATTGCCGAAGGATCAGGCGCTTGGTTGCAAAGGTCAAGGCAAACGCAAATGAAGTGCCAAAGAGACTCACAGAGTTTGTGCACCCATGAACATCCATGAATATCCGTCGACATCCACGAATTTCCGTGAATGTAGCGCGGCGGCGCGACTGCGCGACTGTCAGCAGCTCGAGGTATGATTGTGGTTTGTCCTGATCATCCTCTCTCTGGCGAGAACAGATCCTTCAAAGCGCCGGCAATCCTGGACGCCCTTGTAAAAGGAAAGGCTTTCGCAAGATCTATTGAGCATGATCGATCAATTTCTGCAGTGGATCACTCTTGCGCAGAGTGCCTGACCGATTCCTGCATTCCGCGGCCCTGCGAGGACTGAGATGGCTCGTGCGCTTTGATCCCGTCGCCAAAGAGCGGCGTGCAGAGGTCCCTCAAATCCTCCTTGCTGGGGATTCTGCCGGTGCAACCCAGGCCATCCTGTTGTCAATACTCAATCCTTTCCGCTGAACGGAGCCCATGAAATCCGAACCGCTCGACCCTGACTGAAATCGATCGTGCCGATGTTGTGGGGTGATTTTTGTGTGGCAGTTGCCACGCAGGCCATGTCTATCCTGCTACAAGTCCTCGCGGAAGATGCCCTGGAGCTGCAGTCTCCTCTCCGCGGCCTTGTGCTGATCTCGCCCTGGCTCGACTTGACCTGCGGGAGCCACACCTATGCCCCGCAGCATGCAGTCCCCAGAGAGAATGTTGGGCCATCCGATTCATTCTCCATCCCCATGCGGATGGGTTGAACAAAAACAAAAGCTACAAAACATTTGAAAGAAGCACAAACATGGCACTCAAGCCATCCCATTCTCCATGCGGGATAGGAGTTTTTTTTGCAGTCACTTCCCTTTGCAACGCGCTGAGGTGAGCAACGCTTTCTCAGCGGAGGCTCACACGGGTGACCTGGCCTTCCGATCCCCGGCGGACGAGAATCGGGCGGGCTTCCGTGGCCGCCTGGCAGAGAGGCAGAGAGGCAGAGAGGCAGAGAGGCAGAGACACAGAGGGCCCGTTTTTTCTTTTGTTTGCAAAGAAGGCAGAGCAAACCGGCAGATTGGCATTTTGTTCTCTTTGCTCTTTTTGTTTCCTAAAAAAAAGCTGAAAGCTTTGGGGTAAATAGGTCAAATAGGCTCGTTCGGGGTGGTTTGGGGCAGCAATCAGCAAGGTTCCGGACAGAAAGTTCCGGGCGGGGATAGCACCTGGGATGATGTTTGGTCGCAAAGGGAGGACAAGCAGTCAGCTCTTGCATGCCAAATTGTCATAGGCATGGCCTTGACCTACGCTGGCTCCGCAGGCCTGCTCAAGGCCGGGAGCTGAATAGGCCAGGGTCCAAACTCCTCCACCTACGGATCCTTCACCATAATCATTCCCATAAAGGAGACCATATCCATCGGCCGTATAAGAAGTTTTGACCATCACATGCCTCCGCTCCAAACTTTTTGTGAAGTCCGCTGGCTCGGAAGCTTCGCGCAGGACTGCATTGTCAGTCCCTATTGGCTGGCACGTGACGGACGTGGGGAATCAACGGATGTGCTCCGGAAGCTCGAGAAGTCTGGACTTCCTGCACCTTGGCGCGAGATGCCGAACCACAGGACTAGAAGGGTGTGGGTCAAAATTTAATCGCCAGGGGACCGCAGGTTTTAGTCGTTAATTCCATGTACCAGGGTGCCATTTGGGTACCTATTTTGGACCAGCCAGATGGGGCCAGAAACAAGCCAGCTTCAAAGCATGAGACATTGCCCGCTGTTTTTGCAGATCTGGATATGCAGCGGAGCTTCGGAGACACTGGCCGGCGAGGCACCGGCTCCGCTCGCACACGAGCGGTGACTACCTAAAGGGCCAGAATGCTTGGTATGCGGGTAGCCATGGTTGCAGCCCACTTACATCCACCATGGTTATGAGTCTCCTAAGTGGGTTAGAGCCGGGCTCACTAACCACTGCCCCTTTAAGTAGAAAAAGTTTCCACCCCTTCCACGACATCTTTCACAGCAGGTCCTGGACTTTGTGCAGCGGCTTTCTGGCAAGGCGAAAGCGCTTCCGGAAGCGGTTTGTCGCCGGCGGAACATAGGGAAGCCGCGGAGTATGGCACCAAACTACCGGTAAATTGAGCCACTGGCTCAAAGCCCGCTTAGATGACTCGGGTAGTAGGGTCGCCGGAAATAGCTGCGGATCTCCCTCCGCCTTGCTAGTTCTTTACATGGCTCTGGGTTCAGCATATGTTTCTTGGTACCGATTGTTTTTGATGATACCATGTCTAAATTGTTAAGCCATGGATCTTTTTGTACTAGAACAATGTGTTTGTACAACGTTTTGGTACCATTTTTGTGTCCCACCCATTTTTTCTTACTCAATTGGTGCAAACCCCAAGGGGCATGGCTCATGGCATGGCAGGGGTCACAGACTCAGCAGGTGCCCATGGAGCTGTGGCTCCATGAAGGGATGTTCCACGACTGGGTGATGTGCCTTGGGCCTTCCGGGAGGGAGTCGGGGCAGTCGGGCAGTCGGGGCTTGGGGGCTTGGGGGCTTGCGGGGGGGTTGATATCAAAAGGTCCGGTAGCCACATGTGACCATTGGTTGGAAAATCACGAAGAGATGATATGTTCTCCACTAAATGGGAAAGGTCACCCATGGTCATTCCGGGGCCAGGAATATTGATCAACCCCCCATGTCAAAGAGTTGAGACTCGGAACTAAGGTATGCTACAGATCGGCCATTTCCAAGCAAAGAAGCAGCCATGCCGCTTGTTCTTCCAATCAGTGCCTCTTGTGCGATTCCCAGGTTTCAATCTGGCTTGCAGCAATCAAAGGCGGAATCTGATGGACTTTCTCACGGATGTCCGCAGCTGCCTAAGCTTTCATAACTCAGCATGTTCTTTCAAGACATGGTAAATAGAGAAGCGACTCATGGCGGCCGTTTCTGAGGCGAGAGCTCTTGGAAACGGCGCGGCATCCAATATTATATTGATGAATGGAAATAGCAAAAAGGAAATAATTCACAATGAACATGCATATTTGGAAAATATTTCATTGATTATTTATTTCAATTGCCTTGTTGTTAAAGGTACTTTGTATTGCCGGTTTTATACTTGAGTTGAGCGGTAAACAACACGTGTTTACTTTGTTTTTGGTTTGGGGGGGGGGGTGGTTGAGGTAGATTTTTGGGTTTGTAGATAATTAAGTTGTTTTTGTGTTTTATTGTTTGTATTTTTGTTTTATATTTTTATTTATATTGTTTGGATAGTATTGTTTGAGGGTGGAATTTTGAGATTTAGTTTATATATTTATTTATTTAATTTGGATTATTTTTATATTTAATTGTTTTTTTAATTTTTTTTTTTTTGAGGAATTAAATATTTGTAATTAAATTCTTGGATACGATGTATAATTTAGAAAAATGATTGTGTTAGCGATCGCAAAATTATAAGTTTTAAAAGACTTATTTATTTAATAACATATTTAAAATAATAAATAATATTAAGATTTAATTAAATATATGTTTATATTAAATAAATAATTTCGTATAACAACTTATATTTATGAGTAATAACCGAATTTTGCCAAATACTATTTAATTATATTTATAATATATTTTATATTCTTCTAGCAATTCAAATATATTGATTATTTTTTATTTAATAATCCTATATTACCCTATATTAATAATTTCTTAAAAATAATATAATTTCCAAAAACCATAATAATAATTAAACAATAATTATAAATCCTAATTATAAAAAAAAAGATTTCGATTTATTATATAAAACATCACCCAATAATATATATTAAAATTCTATATATAAAAATTCAAAACACTATTATAATTCTTAATTAAATTCTTAATTCGAAAAAAAAACAAAAAAATCTTAATATAAACGATTATATTTTTTATCGAGTAAAAAAATAAAAAAAATAAATATTTAGAAATAATCCATTTGTTTTGCGAAACATGGTAGTAATGATAATAATAAAACCTATTAGCGGCTTAGGATAGAATATAAATCTTTGCCGGAATTTAAATGATTTTTAGGTTCCAAGAAATAATACATATACAAATATGTATTATAAACTTAAATATTTAGACAATTAAATTTATTAATATTAAATACAAATATATCAAATATCAAATAGCCAAACCAATATATTCCATATATAACAACAAATATCCGAATTTCTTATAACATTCTTCCAACTATCACACAATTATATTAATAGCAAAATATAAAACTAATACAATAAATCCTATATTTTTTTGTGAAATTCATAAAAATATATTTCAAAATCAAATAATAAAATCTTGCCTTATAATTCGATTTTAAACCAAATAAATACATCATTCTATAAATATCAAAAAAAAATCAACATTATTTTTTTAATACAATAATTTCAGTAAATAAAAAATTGCTTAAAACCATATATTCGATTAATACATATTTTTAATATAAGAATTTACAAAATCATATAAATTTGAATTTATTTAACACCATTCCAATCCAATACGCTCAATAAAATTATCAACATCAATCTATAAATCCTTTTCCGAATTAATAATAAAACAACAACAAAAAATCATTATATTTCCTTCAATTCTTAAAAAATCAAGTATATTAAAAAAATAAAATTCATTTAATTCATTCAATTCTTTATTTAATTAACAATTATAATAAATTCAAATAATTTTATACACACTATATTCGGTGTTTTTATAAATATAATCAATATTTTCAAATTATTATTCATTAATCAATTATCAAAATATCATTTCATTTATTTCCTAAACCATTTAGGGGTTCTAATTTCTAATGAACACGGAAGATTACTTACACTATTAATTTCAAGGTGTTAATTAAAATCAATCAACAAACGGTCCAGAAACCAGGAAAGCGACAAATTACATACACACAACACACACCAAAAACCCAACATGCAAGCAGCCTAAGCGTCCGCAGACTGCAACGAGCGTGACGTGCAGCAGTCCTTGGCTCCTGCATCTAAAACTGCCGGCGGCAGCCACAGAATAGCCGAAGAAGAGGGCTGCCGGTGATCTCGTCAGTCGATCGTGTCTTGATACTGGGTCACATCAAATAGATGCAGGGGTTCGGGAGTGGTCAGAGGCATGCGTGGGCCGCATGCTTGCCACTTGACACAAACAGCTGCCAGGCCTGGAACCATTTCCCGCCCCCAAAACCCCCCAAGCAGAGGCACAGTCTGCTCCAAAATGTGCATTCTGACACACGGCCATCTATGACGAGCCGCATTCCAACTACAAACTACGTACACACGCACACACACACACATTACACACCAAAAATCAACCACGCCCAGGATCCACTGACCGACAGCAGTTCCATGAATCGCCACTTCTATGGCATCCCCCGATATGACCTGTCCCCCAATCCACGACGTCACAAGCAAGCTCGTTGCTTCCAGGCATGCAAACATCTTGCTAAGCCTGTTGAGCACTCTGCCTTGATGTATTCGATAAGTATTGATTGCATCGCATGGAGATTGTCACGTTCTTTCAGATCCTAGATTATGCACGCTATGTCAGATAGCATCTTGGATGCTCGGACAGCGCTCTGATCCGCCTTTAGGATCCAAGCTGCAGCTACTCTGCAACCATCCTACTCACATCGCTAATGCCTCCACTTCCTGCAACAAGCGTGCAACCACCTTGAGCATTGCACAAGCAAAAGTCAGTCAGAACTTCACCCTCTAGTTGGTATAGAGTCAATGCCACCAACAAAAAATCAATTGGATAGGACCCACGCGCACCACAGCTTTACTCATAGGTCTGCGCACCCGCCTATTTACCAAATCGGCGCCAATGCTGGCCGCGAAGAACTGCGTGCGCATTTCCTGGTTCTGAACCTGCATGGTTCACGGAGCCTACCTTAGACTTCTGCTTAAGATTCAAGCAGCCATATTAAGGCTACCATACCTAGTAACCTTCTACGTCCTTTGCTTTTAGCCTCCCTCCAATGCCAAACAAGAGACATCATACAAACACCCAATCTGTCTGCCTGATGGAGAATCTGTTCAGCCCATCTCTCGCCATCATCCATGGTGTGGGGTTTGGCCGCTTGTACTGGCCTGGGTCAAACTGGCGGCAGTCTGACTGGGCCATGCTCAATCTGCAACATCATCATGAACGTATTTCCTAGGTCCTTCTACGCGGCTAATGCCTGTATACTCTGTGAATATGGACAACCCCCGCACACACGCACACAGACATACACACACACACACACATTGGATCTCATGAGTCATGTGGTCCAATGCACGCGCCTCATAGACTGATATTGAAGCAACTTGCCCTTTCCCCCGGCTGAAAGATGTCATACAAAGACTTGTCCTCCCGGCTTGCAACGTGAATGTCTGGGATCTGAGCAGAGGCTGGTCCCAGCCTGATGCGCTAGGTGCGAGGCGGCAAGTATCCGATGTCTGGAACCAATTGAAACAGTCTCGCTGTGGGTCAACACCAATGGGATCCCATTTTGGTTGGTAGGTGAATTCACCCATTGTAGTCGGGATTTTAGTGGTTGGATTGAATCGGATGTTCACTGGTACGATTTGGGTTTTGACCCATAGCCGTCATTGACCGTAGTCCATGCATGTCGTCTCAGCGGCGCTTGCGCCAAATCTCAGCGCCGCTCCGAAGCGGCGGTCCACGAGGACGGACTTCAGCAAGTTGGCATACTCCGTGGACAAGCGGTCCCTATGGCCATGGGTCAAAAGCCCATGGAAAACCCCCCAGTGAACATCCGATTCAATCCAACCACTAAAATAGGGTGCAAAATGGGTGGTGAATTCACCTACCAACCAACATGGGATCCCATGGGTTTTGACCCACAGCCATATCACTCTTTTCTCGTCACTTGCGGCCCATCTTGGCCGTCTGGTTTGCTACACTGAGAGCAGTGCTGAATCGCTTTCAGGAGATGCTCTGGCAGGTACTTGATGTCTGACGCCTTTACATACCAAACCTGGTAGGCAGCAAGTGTGACTAAACACAAAACAGGTGCGCTCGCCTCACATGCAGTGGCAGCTACAGCTGAAAGTGGCTCCACAGCATGGTGTATCCAGGAGCCAAACCTCGGACCGTGAACCGGGGAGCGGCACTTCCAAGTGATTGCCAAGCGCAAAGCAGATGTCCGGGGAGCAGCCGCTGACACACTTCCGGGCCGTTTTCCTTCAGAAGAATCAGGTTCAAGCACCAGCTTGTTCAAAGTGCTAGTCCTTCTCTCGCTTGAGGTGAACATTGCCTGCGAGGATGAAACTGAGCCCTAGGTACTGTGGTCCTGCACGTTGCAAACATGCAGCCGTCCGCCTTTATAGATCACGTAGATGGCACGCGAGTCCTCGTTTCAGCGGCTCGTAGCACAAACTCAACGGTCGCGCACTGCTCAGGACTCAGCTCGTTCGCCCTGCTTCAAGAAAATGTAATCCTGCACCATCCGGAGTGATGCTTGTGGCTTTTGAACAAGCAAAGCCACCATTCGGGCAACGGCGCCCATACTACCGGCCTCGTGAACGCGCAATCTGTTGAAGAAGAAGCTTGGGTGCGGTGGATCATTCGGTCCAGGCTGTGGGCATTCCTGGTCGATTCAACATTCTGAGCTGAAATGCCAGGGTTGCCGCCTCCATACCAGGGATGTACTTGTTCAGGAATCGCATCTTCGCCTATGAGTGCTAAACGGGACTCTCCTGTGCTGCTTGAAAGGAAATCAATCGCAAACAATCCTTCCCCAGTTGGCTGTGGGTCAAAACCCTGTACCCCTGGTGAACATCCCAATCCCCACTAACATATATAGACTAAAATTGGTGATGCACCTACCATACCTACCCCAAAATGGTACCATTGCTGTTGACCCACAGCCAGTTTGCTTGTCTCGGAAGCTCCCTTCCCGTTGGACGCCTCCCGGAATTGGACCAGGCGCGCCTGTGGCTCGATTCCCAAAATCTCTGACTAGGAATGGTTTCATGTCCGAAAGCTTAGGCCTTCCACACATTTGTGTTTTGCCTTCCTCTGACAACCACGCCAACCCGCGACCCTCCACATGTCACAAGTTCTGGATGAAAACGCGCAAACACACGCAAACACATGAAGCTTACCTGTTTTGGGTGGCATCAGGCCACTTCTCCCGCTCCTTGGCGATCCTGAAGGCGCTGGCTGGCAGGGTCATGAACTCGCCTTAGTCTTGTTTCTTTCTCCCATGAAAGACACGTTTCTGTCCGACGTGTTTGAAACCCGTTCCGAGCGGCAGTTGGTATGGCACTTGGCTGAAGCCTTGGAGCTGTGCGCCGTGCTCATGTACCCCGTTCCACTTTCCTGCCTTCCTGATGCAGTTGTCCTCCATCAGCGCAAGCCTTACGGCCGGATTTGCAGCTCAACAACACATCCTCTCACTTGCCGGGGTCCATCTGAGAATCTGGGGCAGCCGCTCTCCAAAGACAGCGCCACTGCGGGCTTTGTTGACGCACTTGCCCAGGTTGCTCTGCAAGGAGATCGTGCTTTGGCCATCTAAGGTGCCCACCTGCATTTGCGGTGACTGGCACAGGCCAGCAGAAAAAAACTCTTCCATGGCAATTTGGCGGCCACGTCTTTGCATGCTGACAATGGATGTGCAAGAGTCTGTTCATTTTCTGACTGCCCGTTTTGCAGCTCTCGCTTCTGCAACAATCATCGTTTTACATTGATTGTTTTTCTGCATTTGTGACCACAATCGCAACCTTTTAGTACGAGTGCGGCATACGCAATTCACTTTGGTAGCTCCAGCTCAAACTTCGCCACTTTTAAGTGAGAGTGTGGTAGTGCGCAAAGTACAATTTGACAACTCCAGCTCGAACATCGCAACATTCTTTAGTACTCCTGTAGTGCGCAAAGTAACCTTTGTCAGCTCAGCTCGACAGTTGGAAACTTTCGGTAGACGTGCGCGAAACTCAAAAGTCGCCAATGTTCAGGCCTTGTCGGGTTTTTGTGGAGTTTCGCACACAGGGGTTCGCCCAATACTGAACTGAATGCAAGGTGCTTTTTTGCAACCACAAAGTTATAGCTGACTTCTGAGTCAGCCCTGTTTGACTCCTGTAGCCGCTTGTGGCCCTGTTCGAGGAAGTTCTTCCCTCCCGTGCCCTTTGACCACAATCAACTTCGGCACAACGGCACAATTGTGCATGTCAGGATACCTGAAGCCACTGTTCAGCACTAGCCTCCTATATCTGTGTACATCACTACGATTAAACACGCACAGTTGACATTTTGGCCATTGCCGTTCTGCTGCAAAAAGAGGCGATTCCCATATGAGGGCTGATCAAAAGGTTCTTTACATGGGATGACCATAGGGTGAAATCACTAAAAGGATAACTTTCCCCACGAAATGGAACAAGTCAACCATGATCATTTAATGTCTTTTGGGGGGAAAGAAGTATTGATCAACCCCCATGTGCGTTGCATGTCGTACACGCACGTGCCAAATGGCCATGGGTCAAAATCCTGGTTAGCCCCCAGTGAACATCCCAATTCCACCTAAAATAGGTTCTAATATGAGTGGTGCACCTACCAAAAAATGGCATCCCATTGGTTTTGACCCACAGCCATTCGTCATTGTTTCCATTTACCAGGGTGCCATTTTGGTACCACTTTTTTGAGCCACAGCCAAATCTCCGCGCCGCTGGTCAGTCTCCATATCGACGCATACGTAGCTCTCCATCTCAGGGCGCCACTCTGGACTTTTCCTCCCATGGCCATGGGACCCACCTGATCCGAGCGATTTTGAACGCGCCGCCCGTTTTTTTTTGGTTTGACACATGCAAACACAACACACAATGCGGTAGGTCGGCGGGTTTGACATGGCAAAAAGGCGGTAGATCTGGGACTGCCTGCTCTGAAGAAAACAATTGCACCGATTCCCACACTGTTTCGTTCGTCAAAGAAATGACACATCAAGACGCACTCAGATCTACAAGCAAGAAACATACCTGACATGATGCAGTGTTCACCAACGCCACACTTTTGACGAATCGCAACAGGTTTGACCGATTCAAACAAGACTACATGGTATCACCCACCTAAATCGCCTACATGCCACATTATCTTCACTTGGCTGTCCGTTTTCTGATCCCCTGCCAGTTTAAACCAACTCACAACCTAAAAAGCTAAGGAACCCCCCCAATTGGAGTGAGTGGAACCCACCCTTTTTGGTTGGTTGAGTTTAAAAGGGAACCCTTGCCCCCAAAAACGGGGGCAAAGGGCGGAAGCCCCTTGGCAAGAACCGGACGGCTGATCCCGAACCGAGCGTCGTGTTCTCGTGGCCGGGGGTGCACGGCAGCCAGGGACTTGCCGCAGCTCCACCACTCCCTGCCGTGAGGCCGTGAGGCCGTGAGGCCCAGCCAATCCAACGCTCAAAACCATAGGCAAAGGTGGCCGCCTGGATTTGTCTGAGACATACTGTGGATGGATGCAAAATCCAGAAATCGCAGCACCTAAGAAACCCTGGTTTCTGATGATTCCCCTGTACATACCAACGAACAATGGTTTCAACCAAGGTTTTCCAAGTGGTGCCTATATAAGCGGATTTCGTCCATCCACAGTATCTATCTTGGGGTGTGGCTTTGAAAGCTGCGGAAGGCGCCCAGCCTATGTAGAAACCCACCTGCGATGCGGATGCACAGATCGGTTCAGAGGCAAACGGCCTCTGTGTGAGTGAACGGGTCTGCTGGAAAGGCGATCTGCTCTAGATAGCAATCCGTGAATCTGGAAAGCAGCATCTGGTAAATAGACCCCCAACTGAATCCTCAATTGGAGCTTTAGATTGTGAGGGTCGAACTTTTAAGGGTCCTGGGAGCTGCTTCGAGGTTTGCAAGCATGTGGTGGTCGAGTCGGCGAGTCCGAGTCTGTCGGAAGGTCTCACACACCCCATTGAGCGGTAGGCGGTAGCTGGCTCTGTAAGCAATCTTGGCGGGCGTGGACAAAGGCATGCAGGCAATGCCTCGTGCATAGCGCAACCATGTGTACTTCTTCCGACATGCTTCTTTCTCTTGCAAGTTGTCATCGGGTTGGTTTTGCAGCACTCAAGCAATTCAGCGTGCATCTTTTCAGAATTGCCCAACCGGTGAAGTTGCAGCTTTGGGATTTGCAGCTTGCGCTTGTGGAGCCCTTAGACCACTCGGGCCGATTGTTCTTGCTGCCCCTCTCTCTCGCTCTCCCTCCCTCCCTTTCTCTCTTTCTTCCTTCTTCCCTCCCTCCCTCCCTCCCTCCCTCCCTCCCTCCCTCCCTCCCTCCCTCCCTCCCTCCCTCCCTCCCCCTCCCTCCCTCCCTCCCTCCCTCCCTCCCTCCCTCCCTCCCTCCGCTCAAGACTCAACTTGCATGCGCGCCTCACCCTTCGCAATGAGCCAACAGTTGGAGGGAGGATCTCCCTGTCGGAAGACAACAGCGCCCTTTGGTGCCTGCGAAAAGAAGCGTTGCTTTGAACGACCGAGCAAGGAACTCAGGGCTCCAATCAGTCAAATGAGTCTCAGTTTCAACTGGAGCATCTGCCGCCGCTGTGCAGAGGAACTTGTTGGCAAGCAAAACGCCAGCAGCTATGCAAACGCTGGTGTTGTGAGGGAATGGATGCACGCGTTGCTGCATTGGCTCCAAATCTAAGACACAACCAATGAACGTACATCTCAGGTGAACAATGATTCACAGGGGTTTATTTATGTGATCACCACTATAGCAGAAGCAACTCAGGCGAGGTCCTCAGTAAAACTCGCTAAGCGAGGGAGCTCCAACAAGACCGCCGGCTCCAAGGTTTTGAAGAAGGAGCATCTCTGCCTCAGGCACACATGAATGAATGCCTGCGTGACTCTCTTGGGAAAACTGATGAGGTTGATGCGCCTGCTTGGTGGCTCATGTCAGCAAGTAATGAATCCGTCGCTTCGCTTGCTCGGATGTCCAGTGCAGCAGATTCGCCACAAGGAGCCACAGCCAAACATCCAAGTTGTCCATCAGTCATGATGTATTGCCAAATGACTGGGCCATCCACCTCTGACGGAGTCTGAGTCCCCAGCAGCAAGGCCAGGGCTCGCTCTTCCTCCTCCGTCGGAGCCTCCTCCTCGGGGGTCAAGCGCACGTGGTCCTGGGGATCTGACGAGGAATTGCGCATGGCGTGTTGTAGATCAGTGCACTGGTTTCTGGCGAACCTGAGGATTATTTGCCAATTTCCCACTGCAACGCTGGAAAAGGTAAACATCCTTCAAAATTATGCGCATCCGCACAGCCCCGACTCAGACTGTTCAGTCAGAATGATCATTTCAGCCAACAATGCAAACATGATGCACCTTTTGCGTGCTTCGCGTGGCTGACTTCAACGCTGCTCGGTTTTCTCGAGCCGCACTGCCGCTCAGCCCGGTCCTGCTCGTGGGTCGACACTCCTCTTTCCAAGGAGCTGCGCTTCTCTCTGCCGACTGGGCCTGGTGATACTGTGGATGCACGAAATCCAGAAATCGCAGCACCTAAGAAACCCTGGTTTCTGATGATTCCCCTGTACATACCAACAAACCATGGTTTCAACCAAGGTTTGCAAGTGGTGCGAAGGGTTTCGTCCACAGTAGAAACTGCTAAACACAAAATACGCGCGGGCGAGACTTCGCGCCCTTGGCCTAGGCCCCGTGCTGCCGGGATTTGACATGGAGACTGATGCTCGTCCTCGCGTTCGAGGACAAACGGCGGGCGCAAATTATGCGCAGCGTGGCACGCAAAAGATGGGCAACTGTGCAACCCAGGGCAACAACTACAACATACTGGAGGGGGAGCAAGCAACTGTGCCAAGCTTGCAATGCTCTTGCGCCTGGAGTCTTTGCCCAGGCCTTGAAATTCGACGCTCTCAAGCTGAGGGACACTCAATTTGGCTGCATGGGATAGACTTTGAGCTGGGCCACACATTTGCAACTGCTACCCGACTGAGTCTGGCGCGCTCTTCGATTCGCTCAATTCCTTCGGTTTCCAAAGCCTCAAGCACAGGTATCTTGAGTAATACCACCTGCGATCAAAAACAAGGAGAGCGGGCAAACACTCAAACACGTGCTTCTTTCGACAGTGACGGGGGTGCAAAACCAACATGGTGTTGTTGCTTGTCCAAGCGCCGTGAGAGTAAACACATGATGCTGTGCGGTGATGTTGAGTTTGCCGAGGCAGCGTCATAGCTGCTGACATGCTGGCACGCGCCTGACATGTTCATCTGCAAGCCTTGAAGCATCTTGATCTTGTAATTGCGCAGAAACATGCCCGGTTGGCCACTGGAGCCCGGTTGGCCACTGGAGCCGTGCCATCTTGTTGACCTTGTTGACTCCTGCTGGCTTCATATGGAGCACATGGAGCATGTACCCACCTGACATTGGGCAGTGCTCTGGTCTCACGCGGAATTCTAATCCAATTGACCCGGATTGACTTGCCCGCTCGCCATTCTATCCTGATTGTCAAAAATCATTCAACCTTTTCCGTGAAACGCAGAATATGAAAATGGCCTCCGGCACCACAGCACTAACTTTGATCACCGCTTGACTCTTGGCACGTGAGACCACTGCCCACCTCGGCCGTCCAGGGCGCACATCGGCCTGTCAAACACAACCCCGTCTGGTCAGTCCTTGCGGTTTGGCTTGCAGTATGCACATCTGGCGCATTCCATTCACCAGCCTCTGAGGAACACGGCCGCAGGGGCTGCAAAGCCCCAGGATCTCAAAGGCAGTCCACCCGCAAGAGATCTGTCCATGCACAAACAAAGGCATGCAATCATAGGTGCCTTTTTTTTGGGGGAAAAACAACGATGGCCCTGGTAGATGATTGAACCACCAGGTGAACCACGGCCCTCTATTTCGAACCAAACCAACCAAAAAGGGACACCTATGCATGCAACGCACAGGACACTGCCAGCTGGAAGCTGGAAAAATTGGGGCGACGACTCCGTCGCCGATAGCAGTCCTGCAGGTGAAAAGCAAGCACGAAATGGTCTCCGTGGAAATCTCAGTTGGCCCTCTCTCCTTGTGAGCACAAAGGTCGAGGCAAGAACTTAAGAACTTGACCATGCTTTCTCTGGCAAACAAACACAGGGGCAGGTTTAGAATGATATTTGAGAGACGCATCCTCAGGGGCTTGCTGTGTTCATGCACTTAATCTCATTGCAATGAAGGACCTTCGTTTAGCAGCCCGCGCATCGGCAGCTGCTGCCATTTGGGAATGATCTGAACTTGGGCTTTGATCCACCTTCAACCTCCCAATGATCCGGGAGAAACTACCTGCGGCAGTGTCGCAATGTTAGTCACCACTCCCTCTTCTCGGACTACAGCAATCTGAGGGTGCACGAACCGTTTGGCGCATTCGACACATGTCCAGGTCTTGGTCAGACCATTGTCGTGCAACCGGAAAGCAAGCCCTCCTGTGGGGTTGTAGCCCTGGGCACCTTACCCTCTATGTGCAGCTCCGCCAACCTGCCAATTCTGAGCCCTGCCAATGTGTCAAGTTGAACACTCAATTTTTGCCACCTGAACACATGCCTCCCGGACCCGGACCCGAAGAACGCGCCTGCACTGGTAGTAGACCTGGAAGGCATCCTGAGGCTTTGATCGCGGGGCCCCCCAAAGTCGCCCCCAATGCTGTTCGTAGACCAGGGATCCTTACATTATACACCTGAACATTGCCTTGTAAATAGTGGTTTCCCTTTATTTTGAAAAACAAACATGTTTCAAATTCAAATGGGCAAAATGTATCTTTTAAGGAGCCCTGTAGAGAAGGGCAGCATGCGACCAAGCTTCCAAGACTCCAGGCTTCCCCATGGCGTCCGCATCGTCTCGGATTTCGCTTGCGAAATTTAAGAAGTCGGCGTTGGCGATGGAGTATGTCTCGCTGTGCTTCGTTTGCTGATGGGCGCATGACTTATGCAGGCTGTATGCCTTGCCGCATGGTGGACTGTTCTGCGTTAACACCGTGTGAGACTGTGATTCACGGTGCAGCACAAGATTGGATGGTGCAAATGCCCAAACTGTATCCAAACGCCTAGCTCAGGGCGCAAGATGCAGGTCAACTCTTGGTTTCAACGCGTGCAGATACGGCGCTGCGAGCAAAGAGGCCTTGCTCCGTTGAGGCTCCTGCCTGCCAATGGTCCGGACACATGATCAAAGAGCTGCCTAAAAATCACCTGATCAAAGAGAAGGCTTCGTCTGGAAGGCAGGATTCTCTCAGGAGAACGTGACCAAACGAGGTGTGAGCCAATCTGCGTAAACACTTTGACACATCAAAATCAATAGCAAACACACGCGCACGCACACCCGCTGCATCTGAGAGCCAGGGAGCCATGGGCTTTGCCCGCATTTAGCCCTCGTTGCAGAGACTGCACTCTGCCCGACTCGAGGCTGCTCCAAAAGACTTCAAAGATGACTCAAGTGTTGAAGGTGTGACTGCCTCATCCAACAACATATTCTTACTTGCTGTCCGTTGCTGCAAATTTGCAATAAGAACCAGCGAGATTCTCCACAAGGCTGAGGCAGTCTTGGTCTTACTGATACATTTGGCAGAAAAATGCATGCCAGTTCTTAAAGATTGCCGCACTTGATCTCAAAGCTTCTAAGCTTCTGAATGAACAAGACACGCAAACACGACTCACATTGTCAGATTAGTCAAAGCAACAAATCCAAAGCTTCTGCATAGTAGTGCAGCGGCCGGCATAGTCTGTGTACTCTACTGGCCACTTGAAGTGAATTTTTGTGTGAGAAGGAGTGCAAGCTGAGGCTATGAGGCGCGAAGCCACACACATACGCTGACAGCTCTCGCAAGCACTCTTTTTGTGGCTCATCTGGTGCAAGATGTACTGTAGCCGGACTGATTGAAGTCTGCAGTGACACAAACACGTCCACACGTCCACAGGTACAGATACACCTTGCGAATTCTAGTTGGACAGTCCATGCCGAGGTCGGCAGTTGGAATAGCTCAATGCCAAACCACTTCAGCATTGGTGCGGGTGCATTGTGCTTCGCTGGATCAGAAGTCAATGGACACTTGCAGTTCTCGTCTCACCTGGCACATTGCGGCATGTTGCTTGCTTGGAGAGTCAATCAGGATTCGCCATTGCCCTTTCTTTCCCTCATATTCCTTCTTGAGTCAGTCTCTTTCGTTGCTTGCGAGTGGTGTGATAGTGAGTGTGCATCTCATCCAATTTGCGCTCTACGTACATGTTGGTTGCCGAGGGCTCAAGCACACTTTTTACTCGCATCGCCGAGGGCAAATCTGGCAATGACCTCCAGGACCAATCGACTGTCCAGCAAATCATTGTGCCCCAAACCTGCAGGGAGCACCTACCCGTCACTCAAACTTGTGGGTTTGGCTCAAAATTGGGGACCCTGTGTCCGATTGGATTCCCTTTTAAAACCAACCAAACGGGAAACCCCCAAAGAAAGACGCACCCATATTCATGAGAAGAGCTTGAGGAAAATGGCCCAAATGGGCAGCTTTGACGCCCTCTATCGACAACATTCACCTCAAAACAACCAGCCCATGCCACTTTCGTGCTTCCCACCTTTGGCAGTTTCAAGCCTGCATTTTGGGATCAGCCTTGCAAGCTCGCAGCCCATGTCATACGGAATGATCTCGTCCTCATCTCCATGTACCACCAAAGTTGAAGCCGTGATGTCTTTGGCCTTGCCCGCGTTGTCGAAGTGGTCAAGCAGCAGAGCAGGGGCAAGTCGCAGCACTGGGGCAAAGAAAGGATAGATCCTCCGAGCCAAAGAGGGCAAACTGGTGAAGGGGGACAGCAACACCAGCTTCTGGCCGTAGCCTCTGACGGCCATTTCCACCGCTGCCCCGCAACCAATAGATTGGCCCACCAGCACGATGGAGGATTTCTCCACTCCCAGCTCGCTGGTGAGGTGCTTCAGCAAGGCTTCCGATGAGCTGTAGATGGATTTTTCGGTGGGTGAGCCGGGTCGGGCAAGGCCATACCCGGGATACTCGATGCCTAAGTGACGATTCGGTGGCATCACCCCAATCAGAAAGCCCCAATCAGCTGATTCTGATCGCTTCCAACCAGAGTAATTAAAAGCTCTCAAAATGACGCAGTCCTAATTGACAGGGTGAGAGTACTCTATTTGCGTTACATGCGCACGGAGACAGGGCACCGTAAAAGCCAAGGCCTGTTTGTAGCAGCTGACATCCAAGGTAGGCTGAGCCCCAGCCAATTTGATCTGCGTTTCCATGGAAGTACCTTAGATTTGCCAGGCTCTCTCTCAAAAGATCTCGTACAAACAGGTATACCGGTATGCCCCGAAGATCGGCCAGCGCACTCATCCTACTCCATCCGGGAAATTCTATTGTTTCTCAAGGATCTATGAAATGAATTCATGATCTTGACAGTGTTTTTCGGAAATTGTTTTCCTGCGAAAGCAAGGCGGCCATCACCAAAAGGCAAGCTGCACAATGGTCGGCTTCCCCTCCAGGGGTTTGAAAAATACCGCCGCCAGGGTTGTCTCCTTCTTTGGCAGCACGATGACTTCTGGATTGCCTCCCTGGGCACGGGGGTCTGCAACCTCCTGGCTGGGGAGGAAGATCAGCTTCCGCTGCAAAAGGAAGACCGCGAACAGCATCACACCATAGGCTTTCGCCAGAAAGGAGACGATCCCGGACATAGCCCCGATGACTCCACTGGCTGCTGCCTCCACTGGGCTGATTCCACTGGCATGCCGAAGCGCCGCTTGCTTCCGCACGGGAGGAGACCAGCCCACCTGAGGCGCAAGCCGATGGCCGGTCAAAGGGACACGAGGAGCGGCAAAGCTTCGCGTCCAGCTCCAGGCAGCATGACTGGCACAAAGGCAAGGCAGCACTGCCAGTCTTCTACCTGGCCTAAAGCGTCCAATCATGCCTCAAATGAGTCACAGTCAAAACCCGGTACAACAATGGTCGAACCAGAACCATGTCAAGAACTATGAAGGCGGCCGCAGCTATTTCTGGCTGGGATCGTTCCTTACTAACCTTCACTTTCCCGGGTTTTGATGGTGCCTCAAATGGAGCTTGAGACATTCGTGTCACACAGATACACAATGAGCCTTACATGATCGCCATGTCCCTTGCGAGATCAGAAGGTGTAGTCAACAAGGATCCGCAAATACATTGCTTGAAGGCCCGCGGCGGTGGTTTGACTCACAGGGAGTCTTGCAGTGACTTTTTCCTAACTCAACTTGCAGTGAGATTGCACGTCTTTGTTCAGGTTCTCGCAATGAGAACACTGGGAACACCTCGATAACCTCCACAAGCAGCAAGCCGGAGCCAAGTTGCTGCCGGAGATTGGAGGGCTTTCCACATTACAAGATACTATAACCCGAGACCTGGCCAAAACAATAAACAAGCAAACAAACCAACCAATCAACAAACAAACAAACAAATAACCAAATCAAAGACTATGATTTTCCAGGTCTCCAGGTGCAACATTAACTAAGCGACCCGCTTCTTTCCTGGCCTTCAAAGGGCAAAACGGCCGGTCCTGCCAGCTCACTCGCCGGAATCCAGGCTGAAGTCGAACCTTAGCACCAGAAAACTGATTCGACGCAATGGCCCAGGCAGCAATGTCTTGCTCGAGAGCTTCTTCAGGCGAGAGCTTCTTTTTTCGCCTGAGCTCCTCTTCTTCTGGATCATCCTGCGCAAGGCGCAACAAGTTGGCGATCCGTTCATAACTTTGATCCCCTCCTTTGTGCAGCAAAACAGCATCACTATGGCAATCAGGGGCGACAATGCCAGCATGATTTTGGCCTGGGCCAGCGATTGGTGCGCCAGATTGCCCTGATTGAAGCCATGAGTTCCATTGCTCAGCGACAACGAACTTCCTTCTCAATCTCTGACAAACCAAAGTGGCTCTCATGGCCTTCTTTGGACTTCGTTTGTACCCCGCCAGAAGAGGGCTGCCTAATTTTCTCGCGATCGCCGCTTGGATTTCACCTTCTTTAACGGTCACTTGAGTCATACTCAAAACCCGATAGTAAAATGGTCTACCCAGAACCATGTAAAGAAGTAAGAAGGCGGCCGCAACTATTTGGCCATGGGTCAAACTCCCGTACCCCCAATGAACATCCCCATCCCCCACTAAAATAGGTTCTAGAATGGGTGGTGAATTCACCTACCCACCAAAATGGGATGCCAAAACGGTTTTGACAACCACTGCCATGGCTGTCTGGGACTGGCCCTTACTAACCGAGTCATCTACCCGAATTCGTCTTGTCTTGATTGCACGTCTCACCTCCAACGTTCCTCAGCCACAGGCTGCTCTCCAGCCGATCTCCACGGCAGCTCCCGCGGGATCCGTCCAGTCCACGTCAAAGAAACTCTTCCTGTCCAAGTGAGTCTGTCGTTTTTTTGACGGGTACCCCCTTTTGGACAGTTTATGGGGAAACCGAAACCCAGCAAATCTCATCTCAGCTCGCTGCGACTCGGCCGCTTGCACGAGGACTAGACAGATGGCGAAATGTGCCTCGGGAAGCGGCATCCGACTGGGGGTTGACCTGGCCATGGGCTTTGCAAAATCCAAATCGTTTAGCCCCCAAACATCCGATTCAATCCAACCACTAAAACGAAGCCTAAAATGGGTGCTGAATTCAGCTACCAAGCAAAATGGTACCATTGGTTTTGACCCACAGCCAACTATTCCCTGACAAGTGATAACTGATACATAGTACATCCTACGAGCTCATACCTGATACATAGTTCATGTTCAAAGATGCTTTATCTAAACTGTCCAAGCCCCACCAAAGTCGACTGAGATCACGGCCAGCCCATGTAACGCCCGGTTTGCCAACACCATCCTAGGTCCGAACTTTCTGCTGAACCAGCTTGGTCCATGTCAAGGACGTGCCGCCCACTCTCATGTACTACTGGTGTAGTCTCCATGAACGCTCAGCAACAGAGATAAACAATCGCTTGCATTGATCCCTCCCTTGACGGACCAACTGCGGTATCTGATACCAGGGGCCTTGCGCGCCACGCTCCGGAACGGGCAGCGACGTGAATGCCACGGCTTGAGCCAAATTATCGAAGGCTATGAACCCAACGCCACAGATGCAGTGGCGCAACCGAACTTCCCAATGCTGTTGCTCAACTTCTGGATGCCAGCCGAATCTGTGCCATCTGTGCCATCTGCAAGCAACCCCACCTGGCTGCCGTTCACAAGGATGAACAGCTCGCTCCCAGCGTCCTTTGAGCAGCAAGCTGTCGTGGCTTGGTGCTGTTTTGGGCAGCGATGTCCATTTCTTCCATGTTGTGGCCGCTCTTACGCGTGTCTGGGTTTCAGCATTTTGTGAAACTGGCAAGGCTGGGGCTCAGTTCAAGCTAAACCGAGCGCAAATACGCCACATTCACCTTCTCTGATTGCACCGCCCCTTTGTCACAAGAGCAACAGTTCGCATGCACTGAGTGAATTTGAAGAGTTGCTTGGGACTGGCTTAGGGCCGGCCTCGTGCAGGACTGAAGGAGAAGGGTCTGCTCCACTGCAGCTGTGGAGAGCCTGTGCACAGAATCCCTATAGCTTACAGGGTGCATCCCGATTTGACTTCACTTTTTGGCCCAAGACTAGAGACGAGGATTTACGGCTGGATCTTGAACAGGGATCCTTACATTGTACACCTGAACATTGCCTTGTAAATGGCGGTTTCCTTTTTTTTGGTGGAAAAAGCCATGTTTCAAATGGGCAAAATGTATCTTTTAAGGAGCCCTGTTGAATAGCGCAAGTGTTATTCAAGCAGTTCACCCCACGCTTCCCCCATCCACCCGGCCTGCATCTGCTTTGGGCGTAGCAGGCACCTCACGGAGGCTTGACTGTGCGCCATGCACACTTTTATGCTAGGCTGGAATTAGGACCCCAGCAAAAACATGTGTTTTTTGCCTGGTTAGTGGAAAACAAAGGGACCCCCAAAAAGCAAACAAACAACAAGTGGAGCTAATTCTGGGGAAGTATGCAGCAAGGAAAAACACGGTGACCCATTTGAGAACCGAAGACTCAACCCCAACTTTGACAAATCATTCACCTGCCGCGCCTCTGCAGATGGATCTCTCTGACCTGCGGGTCAAAACCCCGTACCCATGGTGAACATCAAAATAGGTGGCAAATGGATGTTCATCCACCCCAAAATGGAGCCATAGGTTATGCCCCATGGCCATGTGACCGGCCCAACATCCCATCCTTTGGCCTCGGGGCCAGCAAAGCGGCAGGTCTCCTTCGAGTATGGCGTCCCGCCTGAAGCAGGAGTGGCATGCACCTCCGTGGGTGTTCTCCCAGGTGGAAAGTGTGCTCTTGCCCCCCCCCCCGAAACAAATCTTGCTCAGATGTTACAGTGTACCATCCAGAAACAATACTGACTCCCAGATGCCTGACCGAGAATATCCACTGACGTCCCTATTTCTGCCTTCGAGATTGGATCCCCCTACCTTGAGGAGGAGAGGGGTGGCGGTGGGGGTCCCTCAATTCCATTTACCATTTATCTAGTTTTTTGGATGAAAGGGAAGCTGGAACCATGAATGTAACCCCTCCATGAGTTCCATATTTAAGGGGGTGGGGATGTGATTGGGTTGAGTGTGCCTCCCTCAAGGCAATCCACTGACTGGCGCCCAGCCGCGCCTGGCACGCACCGGTCCTCCCTTCCGCATGGCATCCAGCGCTTCCGCAGTGGACTTCTTGCCCGAGGCAGGCCACACTGCAGGCGGAAAACCTGGCCGAGGGAGTCCAGATGCATGACCACCCCCGCGGACCCTTCGGTGGATCCATCGGTTGTTCAATGACGCCCACTGCTGTCATGCCCCAAATTCTGCAGAGCCAGCGAGATGCAAAAACAAATGATCCTCTGTATCGGCCTTTCAACCGACCAACAGGCGCAGTGCCTTCGCGGCTGGGTACGGGAGACCAGCAACGTAGGCCCTGGAGTGCTTGCAGTGCTCTTGATGAATTACCAAGACACAAGGTGATGACTATTCTTCAGGCCCAACAGTCCTTGTCAACCTCTCTTTGAGAGCAGCCACACAGACGTACATTGTAGGTATTTAGAATCCTACCAAGTCTAGTCCTAAGATATACAACTTTCCGTTTTGCTCGCAAATTTCTGATGGACCCATCGGTCATGGTTCGTTCCTGTTGGAATGCTCCAAGTGGCCAACAAGTTGCCGCGCCTGTCGGAACATCCGGGGAGTTCGGGGACTTTTTGGCCATAGGCACCTAGCGATATCCAAGCAATGAAGGCAACTCTTGGTTCTACTGACCTCTTTCCAACCAAAAACTACGGAACATTGACCGGAACAAGCCTCATGAGTACTGCCAGCGACCAGTCATACTGAAAAATATCTGAGGTGACCACAACTCGGCTGCCTCAGACGCTCCTGCTGCAAAAAGACAAGCAGTGCGCACTCTGGGAATAGTCTTTTGGCCTGGGTAGCCGCTTTTGGTGGAGCACACCTGGCAGCATGCAATCGGTGACTGCAGGCGAGCAAAAGCATTGGGGGCTCAGCCTATCACACCCCAAGCCAGCATCGACGACCATGACACGGGCAAAAGCAATCAACATCAACATGTCCTGATGAATCACGATACACACTAGCAACCAGTATGCCCGGGGGGGGGGGGTTGAACAGTTCAGTTCGAGTTCGAGTTCAAGCAACAGACTCTTGAACACAAGGCAAGACAAGGCAAGACAAGGCAAGGCAAGCAAGGCAGGCAAAACCACGCACAACTCCCACAACTAACCAGCATCCAGCACCCAAAAAACCGAGCGAGCGCTTGAACGAAGTGGTGCTAGCACTGTGAGTGAGTATCCTTGTTTGCCACTTCCTCCCATCATCTGAAGCGAACAGGCAATAGGAAAGCAAGCTATCAAGCAAATGGGCAAGCAAGCAGGCAAGCAAGGGGGCAAGCAAGCAGGCAGGCAAGCAAACAAGCAGCAAGCAAAACACCCGCCGGATCAGTCTGAGAGCTACAGCTAGCCAATGACTGAGATGCCCACCATGGTGCACAGGGACGCCCGTGCTGCAGCCTGTCACATTGTATCGTTGCAAGTATATCGTGGCAAGCTCGCGCTGGATGTTGACATGTTGTTCTAGCCCCATGATCTGAATTGTGGTCCTCCTGGGCGACTTGTATTTCACGCTGCCTTCCAATTTGGATACAGTATTTCTTGACCCGACATGCAACCGAATGACATCTTAAGCTGCTGCCAACAAACGGTGCTTCTCGATATGACTGGCACTCGCCTGTGAGCACGCGGTGTTCCGCGCGTCCATCGGGCGGGCAAGCACCCGGCTTGGGTTCTGGATTCGGCCCTGGATTGCCAGGGAATGCCAGTGAGGATGTTACTGAACGGGCAAACTGTGCTTGTCCAGCGATGCAAGGATAGTCTGAGCAAAAGCAGCAAGGCGAATCATATTTTCGTAGGCTCACAGCAGACTTGCTTGGCGACTCGATATCGGGACAGTTGGTGGAACAAGCTGCGCTTTTCTCCACAAATGCTGTGAGAGCTGTTTTCGCTCCCTTTACAGCGCCTTTGCGAGCAGCCCGGCTGCACTTGACCAACAAATGTTTTAGGCAATGATATAACATTTCTGAAAACGAGCAACAAGGAACTGACCTTGTCCCAGTGTCCGGCAGATTGCTTCTGTGGATTGCCATTGAACACCCCAGCAAAATGGGCCCAAAAGGAAATCTGCGAAGTTGAAACTGGAAGCACAGGCTTGTATTGCCTTGGTCCCTGCCCCCAAACAATAGAGTGGTAAGACCGCTTTCGCATGGCTAAGCTTGGGGCTGCGGCGTGGCAAGGTCGCCATGTTGTCATGTGACCTGGCAAGGCAGGGGCCAAACTGCCCGCGCAGCCAAAAAACAATGCGAGCACCTGCCAACTCAATTCAGAGACTCAAGTCCCAACTGAACTGGGCACACAACAGCAAGCAAAATCACCCTGAGTCAAGAAAGGGTAGCAAAAATCAGGGTTGTCTTCCGCAAACAGGACATCTGTGCTGTTTACAAGCAGCGCCGGTGTCCCCGAAGGGCCTGTTGCCTCGCTTCATCTAGGATCACCTCCTCCTCATCCTCTGCAAGAGCTGCGCTAATGTGCGCCTCAGTACTCAGGTGTCGGTGCCTCTCTTTGCGCCGTCCGATCATTGAGCTCAGTTCTATCTACTGTCTGATATTTCTTGTCACGTGGGCAATGCGGGAAATACATAATTAGTTCAGATGGAGAAGAACGAATGGCTTCAGCCTCTCCCTCCCTCCCTCCCTCCCTCCCTTTCTCCCTCCCTTTCTCCCTCCCTTTCTCCCTCCCTTTCTCCCTCCCTTTCTCCCTCCCTTTCTCCCTCCCTTTCTCCCTCCCTCCCCCTTCCACACCAAAACTGCAGCATGGCCTCGTCCAGGGCATCCAGGACCGTGCACTCAACGCTCTCCAGGTTGTCCACCAGTGGACCTTGCAGCAGTTGAGGCACCCAGCGACTCTTTTCTAGGGCTAACTTCCATTCGAATCTTTTCGGAAAACCACCAAAAACCCCGGGGGAAAGAAATGGCGATCGGTTTTTAAGAAAAGAGACCTTTTGGAATTGTTGACAGGCCCTGACCATGGAAAGTCACCTTCCCCTCAAAATGCTTGTCAGATGTGCAACGGGGCTGTTGCTGGAATGAACCGCCGAATGCCTTGCTGCAGAAACTGTGAGGCAAGCTTGGGCTTTGGCCAAGCGTAAAGCTTAGGGTCGCGTACTGGTACAAATACCTGCGCTGGGGATGGATTATCTTGCCACCCGGGCACATCCTCAAGTAATCAAGGGCTGCGCACATGAAAACTGCAACTCGAATGCCAGCACAACAAGGGCACGAGTCTGGCTTGCATCGCCTGGGATATTGAACACCTGTGCGTCACAGGGCGTCGGTGAGTCAAGCTCCAGGCAAGAATGGGCCATTCGTTTGTTGCAACACCTAGGGATGGTGATTGGAACTGCAACAGCTGTGTTACGCCTTGCTGGACGTTTGATACTCAGAATCTCGTGCTTGGGAAGTAAATCCAATGACGACAAATGTCATGTTGAACAAATGGCGCCTGCAGTCTTCTGCAGCTCGTCCTTATCCAAGTACTGGCGCAAGCTTCTTGAAGCCGCCAGCAAATCCAAAGCATGTGCTAGAAGCAAGGCTGAACTGAACTGCTGACACAAGTGCTGCGGCCATTGACCTCTTGTCAAAGAACAAGCCGGGCGCGTGCCTGAGTGAAACCTGTCCGCATGCAAAGGGTGGACAGCTTCAGGGTCTCCCCGTGGGCCGTGCGCATCCTGGAGGTGACTGCCAGTCGCACGACTGACTCCCAAATAAAACGCATCATCGGCTGGCAAACCTGGGGTGCTGACGTGGATAAGTTGTAGGCAATCCGCTGCTCTAGACCTTGCGAGCCCACAAAGTACCTGGCCCGGAGCTCTCCCTCTACTTGGGAAAGAGATTAATCCGAAGTTACTGTAAGACCCTTTTGAAAAATAGCTGAGTGTCCCTGGTAAATGGGACAACACCCATCTAAAAGGCATCGATTTTTCAATCAAACTAACCTGGAGGCAGTGGGAGGCAGTGGGAGGCAGTGGGAGGCAGAGGGAGGCAGTGGGAGGCAGTGGGAGGCAGTGGGAGGCAGTGGGAGGCAGTGGGAGGCAGTGGGAGGCAGTGGGAGGGGGGGGGAGCCGTCAAATAGAATCGCAGTATAAGAACTGGGTTCCTCAATCAAATGTTTTGGGACGGCCGTGGTTCGCCGTAGGAATTTGCGTTTCGTGGTTGTCTCAAATCCTATTCGAAGGTTTTTCCGGCCATCCCGAACCAAAGTAACCAGGTTCTTCGATCTTCCCGCCTGGAGGCCTGTGAGCCCCGATCAATATTGGCCAAGCCGGCCTCCGCGAACCGGAACGATGAATGACACTCTCTGCAAAGCCTCTAAACGTCTAAAAGGAATGTGTGCGAATCCTATCATGCGTAAGTTTAAGCCTGGCAAAAGCAGGTGCTTCTGTCACTTCTCTAATCACTATGGCTGCTCATGAACACGAGACCCCAGGCAGCTAGCAAGCTAGCACTGGCAAACCAGGCCAAGGCTGCTTCTGTCCTCCCATTTCTTCTGGCTTTCCGCTGGCACGCATGAGGTCCGTGCAAGGGCTGCTCCATTTTTCGGCCAGTGTTTCACCCGAGGATGTTTTCTGGGGTCGTCCAAAAGCCAGAAGTTCAAGTCATCAAACGCATCAAACTCCAAGCGGCCTGTGACATCTGCGTGGTGACCGCCTGTCAACGCATGTTCTTGCTTCGGCTGTCTGTGCAAGGCGCAGCATGGCAAATCCCTCTCCTGCATGAGACGTTTGCTGCCTCCCGAGGATAGCCTGGCAAGTCTAACTAGAGGCAACAGCAAGCCACTGCGACAGACAGCATGACCAGTTACCTCTGACCTCCAAAGTCTTCAATCAAGAAGGACAATTATGCCCCAGCAATCGCTCGCTCGCTGCGCACCCTCTCTGGGCACAGAAATTCAGGATGTAGGTCTCTATCGCCCGCACCAGCCTGGCCAAGAGGACAAGCACACATTGTGATTCTGCCAGGCAATGCAGCGAAGGAACACACATGCTCTGTTGTCTTTGGCTCCGAGAAAGGCTGTTGCTGCCTGAGAGCCAGTATCTTTAACTCCGAGTTGACATTTGACCGCAGCACCTGCTGGCAATAACAAGTCACGGTGGAGCTTGCTCAATGGCCAGGAGGGACCGAGAATATTCCATAAACACCTGCAATCCGCCAGGATGACTCGGTCTGAAAATGAGCAATGCGAAGCTTCCTGACATGGGCTGCGCAGTGTGTGCCGATTGCAAGAATGCAGCCTACTGGTGCGTACATTGACGCCACTCTTCCACATTGAACTTGCAACGTACAATACGGACGTACAAACTGGAAACAAATGAACCAACAAGTTTGACGTAGACTGGCGTTTGCATCAAATTTTGGCTAACATGTTCTCGGCAAGCCGGCGCGCGTGGCCTCTCTTCTTGCTTTCCCTCCAACTGTGGCAAGTCCTGGAGCACTAGGTCTTGCGTAAGCTCACTCTGCATCGCTCGTCCCTGTGAGCAACACCAATCCTAAATAGCAGCGCCTATGACAGGCACAAACGTGGGACTTCGAGCCAGGCTGGATTGCTGTATCACAGAGCTCAACGATTCACTTCTTCTCACGCTCCTGGAGGCTAAAGGTATGGCCCTCGATGGAGAACTCACATCTGTGAGCGTCCTGCAGCCAGAGATCGGCGAAATCTGCAGGCCAACCAGAAAGAAAGCTCGTGACTCGTACAAAGGTGAAGACGGTAATCCTTGAACCATCCTGTGGATGGACGAAATCCTGCACCACTTAGAAACCATGGGAAACCATTGTGCATCGGTATTTGCGGGGGAATCATTCTAGGGTTTCTTTGGTGGTGCAGGATGTCGTCCATCCACAGCCGGACATGCGGGAAGGACACCTTCATGCTGACAGCCTTAACCTGAGCACCTGTAAGATCTGCGGCCTGAGCCACCCGGAGGTCCTCTATGAGCTGGGAGCTGACGCTGTCTGTCAACACACCGTCGTACAAGTCCTCACCATGCGCTTAGAGAGGCGGGGCAACAGGTGGTTGGGCTGGACCTTGAACAGCTTCACTCAGCGCAACTATCCTTCCTATTCTTGAACATCTCTGCTCCGTTGAGCACTTTCTGTGAAGGAAATACGAGCGCGGATATTGGGCCGTGCCAAGCAGCGCGCGTTCGATCGCCGATAGGTCCTGATGCTTTCGGAGCCGCTCGGGGCGGGTCACGTCGCAGCAGTCCTCAGCTTCTGCTCTCGTTTCCAACAACTTCATTTGAGCGCTCATTTGAGTGTTGGAAAACGCTTGTTCAAACATTCCAAGATCTCCCGAATTCGATACCCTTTGCTTTTCTGCTAGGGGCAAGCCAGTGGAATTCCCCGGCCTCGGAGACGAGGTGCTGCAGGAGGATCAGGAAGCGCAGATGTTTCGCAGTGAGCCTGGGCGGCTGAAGTCGGCTATGCCCCGCGTCTTGAACGTGGGTGAACAACAAGTAACAGCCTGACTCTCGGGATGTGTCCTCATCTTTAAAAAACAATTGGGCGCCCGAATGCAAACTCCCGCTGGAAAGCAGAACACCTTGGGTTTGATTTGCTTGGGATCCCTCATGCCTGTGCTCAAATTTGAGGCACTCTGAGCCACACGCTGACGGCTCCTGCCAAACACAGCCAAGCTCCGCGTACGGCATTGTCAACTTCAAGGTGCGAGAAACGCATCTCTGGTTCTCATTCGCTTCTTTCGAGGCGTGCAATGTTGCTCTTCTCTTGTCACACCTTCGAACATTTGGCTTGGATTCAGCGAATCAATGAGAATGCTTCATGCCTTTAGGCAGCCAGCAGCAGCATAGACACAAATGCAGCGCTGACGAAACTGGCCTGAACGCAGTAGCCAGATTGTTTCACCAGCAGAAGTTGTCCACTAGAACATATATGCAAGGATATAGAGGCGAAGACTTGGCGGCTTGGTGGCACCTATCGGAAACGCCATCCCGTCTGACTTCTTTGTTGTCGTGATTGTCGTGACGTTTCCCTCCGGTGGTGGCAAAGTCGTTGTCGTTGTTGTAGTTGTGGTCATTGTGGTTGTAGCTGTGTTTGTTGTGCATTGCGTGAGGGGTTGAGGCTGCTGACAGCCAGGAGCTGCGCCTTCTGGATCGTGCGTGAGGCAAGGTGAACCCCAGAAGATCCAAGCAGAGTTTTCAGCTGGATAAAAATTGCAGTCATAGCCGCCGACATAGACACCGCCTTGCCTGGAATGGAGATAGAGAGTATGCACACACTGCGGTTCGAACTAGGTTGACTTGGTCCTTGCTGCATCTCCTGCAACCAACTTCGCGAACCTCATAGTCCGATTGTGACCGGCGAATCATGTATTACACCGCCTGCCTAATAGGCCAACTCACCATTCGCAGCCTGTGACCTCTGAGCAGGATTTGCCGGAAGACCATCCGCGGAAGACAAGATGGAACCAAGCACCGGCACCTGAACCGTGCCGCCGTTCCTTGCTGCCGCTGCAAGCATGTTGTTGTATGCTGAGAGGGCATAAGGAAACTTCCCCTATTAGACGTACACCTCCTGCATACTTTGTTTGACACATGTTTCCAGCGACGGGTCCAATCCGCCAGCTGCATTTGAATCTAAGCGATATATGCAGCCCTGTGAACATCCGTTCGGGTTCCATGACACAAGCATTGACTGCTTGGTAGGACTTGCGGGATTGTCAATTGTGGCGAGACCACGTGAGTCACAATCAAAACCCGGTAGAAGAATGGTTGACCCAGAACCATGTAAAGAACTAGAAAGGCGGCCGTAGCTATTTATGGCTGGGATCGTCCCTTACTAGCTAGCCTTCACTTACCCGGGTTTTGATTGTGGCTCACGTAATCCCCCACAGACTCGTCAGTTGCTGAGACAGAAGTGTCATGTTGCAACATATCGAAAGCCGTAGTCCATGCCACGGGCACTCTTTTTGATCGTTTCATGATGAATTGGCTGTGGGTTACTCAAATGTCTATGAAATTCAATAGGGAACCACCTCAAAAGTGAGTGGTGCCCAGAAATCACAAATCTAAATGATGTCCACCAAGGCTCCCCCGTTAAAATTCAAATAGTGAGGGTGGAAACAAAGACAACCCTATACTCAAATCTGGTCGGTCTGGCGGACCTCAATGCAAGGACACACCCCGTCATTTTGCTGCAATATCCCATCCCTGTGGGTGGTTTGGGGGTCTAAGGAACCACTTTGTTGGCTGCTTGCTTGGAGCTACATGATGGAGATCACGGCTGCGAGCCTACGAGATAAATAGCCATTTATGGCTCCTGGGCCCAAGATGATTGATTCTTAATTAGCCATGACTTTTGCCCAGAAATCCATGGCATCAGGTTTGGATACCAGCTTTACTGTGGATGGACGAATGGCTTCAATGACCCTTAGGAACTGTTTGACAGGGTGCCAAGAAAAACAGAGCTGTTTCTCGCGAAAGTTTTGTTGACACCAACAACTTTTGATTGTTCCATCCTGGTAGCAACTACTGGACAACGCTTGAGAACTGTCGACAACTGCTTGGCGGCTCAAGTCCTGCACTCAGCGTGTCTCTGCACAAAGTGCATCGATTCAGCTGCGAATTGCTGTAGCCGAGCCTGGAGCAAACCACTCAGAGTGATTGCACTGGTCTTGAATGATGGTCGCCGATCCCACAAGTGGTGGAGTCTAAGGATCTTTCTGACTGTTCATTTACTTCTTGACCCAGCGAGGCAACAACAGCAAAGGAGGCAGCACCGCGCAACAAGCAAGTCTGGAGCGTGATGGGGATTCCAAGGAAGAGTGACTACATTGCCTGAAAAAGCATACGGGCGGCATACGGGACGCCGTGTGCCTTGTTGGTGTAGGTGTTCCACACGTTGAACTTTTGCTGCGACGGCTGAGATCCTAAGTCGGCGCACGCATCAGCACGCTCAACTCTTGCATCTTGTTTAGCCCACGCAAAGCTGTGGCGGTTGAGCCAAGGTGCCAGACTCCTCATACTGCCGCTGCTCCTGCGAGAAGTGACGCCACCAAACATCTACTGACTACTCAAGCTGGCCCGACCTCATGGCACCGTTTTTCCAGCTCTCGGTACACTTCATTGATGACCATCTTGGCCGTCTGCTCATTCCTGTCATTCTGAGTTGTCGATCCCGATTTTCTCTGAGCGCCACGGCCGACTCTCTCTGAGGGACTCTGCCGCTCACCTTTGTGCCACAGAGACGATGCCAACAGCCTGGCACTCACGTGCAAAGCCCCAGGAAATGCGCCAGAGCGCGTTTCCGCTCCTTGTCGGAGCTGGGAAAGCTCAGCTCGGTCTCGGTGTTGGGCTCGTACTCAGGGGCACTGCAATGCCCGCACCTGCAAGTTGGCAAGTCTGCACTTCTTCCCTCTCACTTAGAAGTGAACTAGATGGCCGTGGGTCAAAAATAGCCTACACTTCCAAAGGACCTTCTTGCGAGTTTCGACACCGCCGGTTCGAGGCTGGCGGCCTTTTTCCCCGTCACTGCCACGTTTCCGGGGAAAAAAACAACTCTCCAGTCACTGCCATGTCAACCGAAAGCCGGTGCCTTGGCAATCGAAGCACCTCGCAAGTCCAAAGTCAGGTCCGGTAAGCACCTCGCAGGCTGGCCTTGAACTCATGGTCCTGGTCCCGCCCGCAATGGGATTGGATCCCGCACCTCAGGAAGTTAGGGCGGGGGTCTGGGTATGTCTTTTTTGGGGGACCCCCCAAAATGGTGGGTTTCCTTTTGGCTTCCCTTTAAAACCAACCAAAAAATTGGTACCCTCAAAAAAGAAGACAGACCCAGATGCAATTGGCAGTTCATATTTTGAATGACGCACCATGTATTGCGGATGTGGCAAGGTGCTCGGTCAGAGCACTTGAAATACGAGCTACTCCGAGAAGTAGCTTCTGGTGTTTACAAGGCTGCCCAGACTTCCTGTTGTGTGGACCGTAATTTCCTTTGTAGGCTTCTAGTCAACAGGGTCCGCGCGGAATGCCTGAATACCCACCAAGCAACTTCCGCATTCGAATGACTCAGGCGCCGACAAACCCAGATTAGGCTGCTGCACCGCTTTTGTCACTGTCTCCTTCCTTTGCTGGGACGCTGTCTTGGCAAAAATGGATCTGGATTAGTGAGTCCTGGACAAAACACCATTTGCAAAGAATGGTCAAGGTCCCCTTCATGGGAAGCTTTCTGTGGCTATCTTCTCAACGTTGACGATCCGCTGTCACAAACAAATGATGGCATCGCCGCCGTTCTCAGGCGACGGCGGACCCATGCACATGCTTAAGTAGCCGCTCGGGGCCGAGTTCAGGTGCAACGCTGCACCTGGCTATGACCAGGTCAGGAGCATACAGGAAGCACGGGCAAATATCAAAGCCACTGCCTCGGCGCACTCCAGGGCCAACTGGCAAACAAGCCAACGCTCCAGTTGCTTGGTCTAACATTTCAGACAGCCTTGGTCCAAGCGCTGCGAGCAGGTAAAAGCCACGGGGTCTCCTCCAGAATGCGTTGCATTCAAGTTCTCAAACCAACTGCAGGAACGGGTGTCAAACAGAGCTCCTGCCGCTGTTCGCCACATGGCAGGCTCTTGGCCAATCGGCTGGATGGGCTTCAAACGCCGCGCAAGCCGTGATGTGCTGTCAAGCAGTGCTGACAAATGCATCCAATGCACACAGCTTCTTGGTTGCCAGTCAACGCCATGGGGAACTGCAGAACTGCCAGCACGTCTTGCTTGCTGCACACTTGCTCAACGTATTTGAAAGCTATTGAGACTAGATGTTAGGCTTGCTAGTTAAGCAAGATCAAATGACAATTTGAGATGTGACTAGTCACAGCACCAGCTCAAAGTCGGCGGAAGATACAGCGGTCCAGCGCAAGCAAACTCTGTCTGCAGCGTCAACTTGCGTTGATATGGACAAGCCAACTCTTTTCGCACGATTGCATTGCAAGTTTCTAAGTGAGAACCCTGCCTGCAGGACAGGGCATGCCCGATGTTTGCCCGCTCAGTGACACATCGCGCAGTGACACGCGCTCTGCCCAAGGGCAAGCTCTCAACCTGAACAGCAAGGGTTAAGACAGCTGAGTTGGCAGCTGATTTTGGCTTGATTCGGATCCTCGGGCGAACCAAGAGGCACCTGTGGCCAGAGTCGAGGACCTATTCATCCTTCATGTCTAACATCCTGTCGTGCTCATGAAAAGCCGTGCTCATGAAAAGTGTGCATTGTTGTGAACGGCATTCCTGGGCTCTGTGGGGCTCATCTGTGGCCCTGTGCTCATCGGTTCCGGGAGACTGTCCCTAAGGTTCACGGGAAGGTCCAGGAGCTCCAGGATGGGAGATACGCATTTTGGCGAATACTCGGGCAACTTTTTGGGGAGAGCGGGGCTTGTCTAGGGCTTCCATAGGCAAGTGGTCTTGACATTGGCTCAATGTCGCACGTTCAAAAGTGGTATCTAACAAAAGACACCATGTGCAGAAGAGATTGCCAAAACCCGATTCCGTCCAAACAAAGGGGTGCACGCGGTACACACCTGTGTCTTGCTAAGAGCGCAGCCTCATGAAACCATATTGTCTGCCAGCCACTTGATGGCCTCAACAAGCTCCCAGAGCACACCAAACAAGGAACTGCTGCCGCATGCTTCTCACTTCCCCGCATTGCGTGGGAGGCATGCACTGGGTAAGAAACATCATGCCATCAGTTGAAACGAACAAACACTTCCTGTTGCTTGCATGCCCCGTGCTTCTGATGGCCAGTGCCTTTGGGAACCCTCTGCCGGCCTCTTCCACTCCGTCGCCCTTGAGGGCGTCACAGGAGAACAGCTGCCAGGGCCTGCCACTCGCCCAGTCACCAGGCACACCGAGCCGAGCGATCAAGCGGCGCCTGTCGGTGATGCGATCCAAGCCCAGGGCCTGCAAAGCCGAGTCGGACGCTCTCAAAACGGAGAGAACCATGATTTGGTTGACGGGTTGACGTTGGAACGGGAGAAACCATAATACATGTTTAGCAGTTAAGTGGGGATTTGCCGCTAAACCACAATAAGCAAAAATGTAAAATGTGTCCCAACAACCATGATGATGCCAATGTGTCTGTGTGTCTTTTAGGGGACCACCCCACATTTTAGCCGAGGGTTCCTTTGACAGTTTCCCTTTAAAACCACAAAAAATGGTTGCCGCCAAAGAGAGACAGGCCCGTATGAGTTTGAGATATTACGCAGCACGTTGCAAGGCAGCGATGAGCACAAATTGGCACCGTGAGCAGAGATGGCAGTGCTAGTACTGGTGATTCGCACCTGCATGGTCTCTTGCGGAGGTGAGGCTGCTGGCTGATCCACCTTGTTGTTGAGGAACCTGGACCACACAAACATGAATATCGCAAAGCATGGTTCTCCCTTGGCACGGCACAGTATCGGCATCTTCTTCTCGGCTATTCTGGGATCTGCAAGCATTGTATCGAGCTCATCCTGCAGAGCAAGCAAATTCAATCTCAGCCAGGCATCTCTGTTGCGCCTTGACAACTGCAAATCGGAGCTTGTCTGTGGAGTCAATGACCACAATGATGCCCTCTACCTCACCTTGGGCACCAACCAGCATCGACAGCACGTTGTTTTTTGCTTCTGTTTTTTTTCTCCCGCAGCCTACCCATTGCCGGAGCAATCGAGTCAAGTCCAAGGCCATAGTAGTGCTCCCACAAGCTCCGGTATCGACTTTGCCCAGACCTCGGAGCTTGTCACTCTCAGAGTGGAGAGCGTTGCCAGGGACCGCTAAGGCCGAGTCATGTCAATCGCGGAGAAGTTTACCCCATGCTTCTGAAATTCCTAGAGCACATTCGGGCCGACAATGATACGGCGTTGTTGCAATTTCTATGGTACATCGGTACATCTATGTGGTCATTTTGATTCAAGCGGGGATAGCGGAACATCCCCATTCTGCTCATCCTCCAAAACTTAAGAGAGACGAGTCATTTGTGCCTTGCTTGCAAGAGCATTCCTCATCCCCTCTCCTCGGTTTGGATTCCGACTGTAGGCACCTCAAGTCGGTTGCAAGCCAACTGAGCCAACTGTCGCAATCTGAGGCAGTCGCGGTCTCCAGGGAAGCTTTCTTAGGCTTCAAGGCATTGAGGACGGTGGTTTTGCCTTAGGCACAAGACTGCCGGTGCTGCTGGGGGCTACCTCAAGAGCCCTCACAGTCAGACCATGAGTCTGTGCGACCAAAAACTTCCCAACAACGCATCTTGGCAACGGGCTAGCTCAAACACAAGGGCAATGATGCACCCCCCCAAAGAAGCATCTCAACGGTGATCTCCATATTAGCTCTATGACACTATGATCCCTTTGTGCCATGATCTACTTGAAGGATCAACACACGATCGAAATACTCTGCACCGAGGATGCGGCCACTATTGTCAAGTCCAACGACGACGATTCGGACCTCCCACCAATAGCAGTATCTCAAAATGATTCAGCCGGTACTCCAGCCTTCTTCTTGGTTCCGAAGCCGCCGAAGAGTCTTTTGAAAATGCCCATAAGAAGGCCTACACGGCATCAGCAAAATGCAAGCAGTTCGAGTCGATTTTCAATGTCACAGTGCCAGCAAGCTTAATGCCTTCGTTGTGCCAACAGCGGCCTGCCCCTCGATTTGCCTCAAAGGATGTGTGGCAATTTCATTCTGAGACAAGCATCATCCGAAAAATCGCCCCGCTGGCACACGCTCAAACATCAATGTGTTGCGTCTCACTACCACTGCTTTGATCGCTTCAAAAAAGAATAAAGTTTGCATGTCAGCTGACCCATCGAATGCAATGTGAGAGTCAGCCAACATTGCTAAGCACCAAGCCGCCTCAGTGAACCGTCCAGGCCAGTTACTGAACTGATCGAAGCCTTTTGAGCCGAAAGTGACACCCCGACCAGCACTGGTCACACGTTGAAATGCTTGGTCGTGGCAATCATTCTGGTGTACTTGAGCATGATGCAATCATCAAGTGGCCTGTCACAGACCCAGAAACCTGCATCTGACAATCGTGCCGTTGTCAAGCGCTCGAGTTTGGCCACCCTTTTCTTGCTGGATGAAATTCGCAGGTGAGACGTAGACTGCGACCAAAAAGCGGCCTGATGGGACTGCCGTGCAGAAGGTGCACTGTGCTGCATGCCCAGTCAAGCTGAGGCCACGGTTTTGATGCCATACGGCAGGCAAGCCGATCACCTCCCACCTAAGTGGTGCAAGCACTAGCTCTGACTGAACAAACTCTTGTTTCCAAAAGGCGATCCTGCAAGTGAGTTTGTTGCATCAAACACTCCACGCCGCGACGGGAGGCCAACACCCGGCAAGGGACTTTTTGGCGCCGGCTTCCAGAAACCGAAGCCAATCATTTCAGCCCCACAAGAGGCAACTTGTCCAACTCGGCTTGGCCCGGCAGACCATTGAAACTCGGGTCCGCATTGATGCCATTACAAAGACAAACCGCAAACAGCACAAAGAAAACCAGGGCCAAAATGGGCAAGAAGGAGGCGCTGCGAATGTTGTCGGCCAGCGAGTTCTTCACCGAGTTGATCCTGGAAAAGACGCGTGAGAGTCGAGGATCCTGCGCAATCAATCGTTCCGCGGCGTTGGCTTCTTCGTTGGACCAGCTTCCCGCTGCCTTGAAGGCGTCACTGCCCAAAAAGTTGATGACTCGGCCCCTTCCCTCCGGCAAAGAAACGTTGGTGGCCGTGACCACCTCACTCGGGAAGATCACCTCCCAGTTCAAGGAATCATCCATGATCTTGGCGAAACGCGTCTGTGACAGTTTCTTCACGCTGGGCCGCCAGTCGCCACCCTTCTCCCTGTCCAGCAGGACGGACGCAATGGCATCCGCATCCAAAGCACCCCCTGGCCAAAAGCAGTGGCAACCACAACCCAGAACGCTTAGTTTCTCGGAAGCAAGTCTACACCGACCCTCCGAAATCCCTACTCTTTGCTCCTCCGGCCTACTTCTCTGATATTCTCGCGTATATCGGCAGGGGCTCCTTCCGGCACGTCCCCCGCCCTGGCTGAAAACTGGTAGAGGGACAGGAACCAGGCCCTAAGGATGGCATCCAGGGAGGTACTGTCGCCCTCCGGAACGCTCTCCATGCCGTCCAGCAGCTCGAACAGAGGCCGTCCTTCTGGCCCGAAGAGGAACTGGGCGGGCCGGCGCTCGTCCTCCGCATAGGCGCTGAAACTCATGGAGTTGTCCACCACTTCAACGGCGATGTCAACGTCCTCGCCTGCGGCAGGTGATCACTTTGCGCAAGCAAACCGCAAAATATCGCGCTTAGTCCGCCCAGCTAGGTCTTTGGATGTCTTTCTGACTGTCTTGTGCTCCAAGAGAACTGAATGTTCTTTCTTTCTCTGAGGGTGCTTAGGCCAAGGGTAGAAGGAAAGAATTCATGTTGAGCACTTCCTGATATTGGAGACCTGACGGTAACTTCATGAGGTTTACAGAGACACTACCAGCAAAGAGTGAAAAGCACCAAGAATTTGCAAGAGTTTGTGCAAGGTCTCTTCATAGCGCCCGCAGTTCCTGCAAATGCAACAAATCTGCGGGCTCTCCTTAACGACGTGCTTGAACACGCTTAGACTCGCTTGCCCAAAGGGCCTGGAAATAAAAGGTTTAGCTTTTCGGACCTTTACTCATCATGGACCAAACATGGAAAACCAAAAGGTCAAAAGGGGAAAAAGGTCGATTCGCTTTGAACAACTGAGGAGAAGCACCTTTCTCATGGCTCGTTTGACCCCCGAATCCGGTGAGCTTGCCATGTTTTGAGAAATGGCTGCGGGTCAAAACCCTGCACCCCTGGTAAACATCAAAATAGGTGACAAATGGACGTTCATCCGCCCCAAAATGGAGGCATAGGTGATGCCCCATGGCCAAATTCCATTTGCCACCTATTTTGATGTTCACCAGGGGCAAAGGGTTTTGACCCACAGCAAAATCGAATCCTCCCTTCGCCTTGTGCAGCTCCCTCTCCCTCTCCGTCGCCCGACTTCGCTGCCGCCAGCGCCGCCTTCGCCTCCGCGGCCGCGGCCCGGGCCTCTGCCAGCTCCAGCTCCGCCTCCGATTGAGCCAATTGGACCCCCCGAAATAGTGGCTTTCCCGTCATTTGGCTGTGGCTCAAACAATTGGTACCAAAATGGAACCCTGGTAAGTGCAAACGAAGGCCAACACCTGCGTAACCCCTCCTGTTGAATTTGAGCCACACCCATTTCCCTAGAACCGCAAAACAGGGGTACCAATTGCCACCTTCTAGTATCTACCCATGTGGAACTGACACAAATCCCATCAGATTCCATGGATCATAATAATTGGGGAAATGGAAAACAGTTTTTGTAGGCCAGTGGGTCAATCAGTCTTTCCATTTCTACCGCCAAGCAACCTGTCTCCCTCTGCACCCATCTAGGGGGGTAACGCGCCTACAAACAATCGCTTAAACAAGCGTTGTTAGAGAACCCGGTTGTTTAAATACACGGTTCTTGAAAGCGAGGCTGTTTAAACGTGCGGGTGTTAACCGCTCTTGTTTTGAAGGTTTTGCTGGCAAGGTAAAAACCGGAATCGTTGAACTTTGCACAATCTTGAGCGCGGGACTGGTTCATGGAATGGTAGACGGGATAGATGCACGGACGGGAAGGGCGAAGCAGTACTAAGCCACCCTACCCTTCACGCCCAAGCGAAGGCAACACTTGGCCACTCAGAAATTGCAGCTGTGTGCCTGACCAGCGGCTTGTCAGCAGTTTCGGTGTATTTGCGGTGCTGGAGTTCGTCTGCCCTGCAGCTTCATATTCGCTGCCAGGAAATGAAGAACATTACACGGCGTTCACTAGCTGGAACTATTGTGATGCAACTTGCTTTGGGCAATCTTTCCCTTTTCCCAACAGATTGCAAAAAACTCTGGATCATCATTGTCATCTCACTGGACGGTACCATGCTGTCACAGAAGGGCACCAATTCCTGCTCCGCAGCAGGCGCGGCCTACATCTTGTCAAACGACATGAGCCAACTGGACCTATTGTTAGCATCATGGACAGCAATATGGCTGTGGGTCTAAGCCCCGCTATTGAACGTCACCCTGGGGCGGCGTTATGTTCAAATTGGTATTGAACAGCGGCACTTGTTCAAAAGGTATTGAATGAAAGCTGCCACGGCTGCAATAGAAATGCGTGTGCGTCCCTCGCCACGAGTGGTAGTAGTAGTAGTAGTAGAAGTAGAAGTAGTGGTAGTAGCAGCAGCAGCAGCAGTAGTACTACTACTACTACTAGTAAGAGAAGAAGTAGAAGGAGGAGAAGTAAGGGTAGTAGGAGTAGCAGGAGTAGTAGTAGCAATAGTGGTAGTCGTAGTGGCAGTAGTAGGAAAGAGTAGTAGTAGGAAAAGAGCAGTAGTAGTAGTAGTAGGAGGAGCAGTAGTAGTAGTAGTGGTGGTGGTAGTAGTAGTAGCAGTAGCAGTCGTAGCGGCAATAGTAGTAGGAGTAGTAGTAGTAGTAGTAGTAGTAGTAGTAGTAGCAGTCGTAGCGGCAATAGTAGTAGTAGTAGTAGTAGTAGTAGTAGTAGTAGTAGTAGTAGTAGTAGTAGTAGTAGTAGTAGTAGTAGTAGTAGTAGTAGTAGTAGTAGTAAGAGTAGTAGTAGTAAGAGTAGTAGTAGAAAGAGTAGTAGTAGTAGTAGTAGTAGTAGTAGTAGTAGTAGTAGTAGTAGTAGTAGTAGTAGTAAAAGAGTAGTCGTAGTAATAGAATAGTACTAGTAGTGGTAGTGGTGGTGGCAGGAGCAGTAGTAGTAGCAGTAGCGGTAGCGGTAGCAATAGCTCAGTCGTAGAAGCAGAAGTAATAGTAGGAGGATGACTAGCAGTATTAATAATAGCATTCGTATTCGTAGTAATAGTAGTAGTAGTAGTAGCAGCGGCAGTAGTAGTAGTAGTAGTAGTAGTAGCAATTTATAATTCAGCAGTAGTAATAGCAGTGGTAGTAGCAGTGTCAGTAACGGCAGGAGTGGGCAACTTGGCCATTGAACGGGTCTTGAACGGGTGTTGAACAAACACCCATAGGGGAGCGCTGCCGCCCAGCTGCACGTTAGCCTCTGAATTTGGACTCAGCACTGAAATAAGAGTACTTGCGTTACTGAAGTTCTCCAAACGCCCGCGGAGCGCTTCTGCGCGCCGGAGCCTGTGTGAGGCAGGCGCTGAGCACATCTCCTACATCTCCCGCGGTCACCAGGGTGCCCATTCTAAGGGTTGCTCGGGAGTGAGAAGCGCTTAATTTTTGATGGACCAAGGGGTATTGAACGACAGGTGTTGAATGGGGCATTGAACGAACCTGTTCAACACCTATTGAACGGGGTTTTGAACGACAGGGTAACCAGCGAGGTTTTGCCTCGCAGCCATATACACTTCCCAAGGATGGTGATGTCGGGCTGCGACTCACAGCCAGTACTTGTGGTTGAGTGACAGCTCACATGGGATCTCTGGCGGGATTTCTCCATTCTACCGAAGCACGAAACTGGTGGATGTAACCCAGGTCAACCTCCCACGCCCAAACATTGCATGCTGACATGGCTGGGCATCAAAACAATGTCCCAAGTGAATCTAGGTTTGGATTGGTTGCCTTTGAAACGCAATGTGGAAAGCACCTTACAGCCATTCCCAAAGGCCAACCGACAGTTCATGCGTGAGCCCGCCTTGAGTTTTGCTACCTCGGCAGATGCGTCGTCACCCTCCGCGCGCAGCTGGGTGGGTGCTATCCGCCCGGTGCGCGCCTGAGCGCCACACACAACATGTACACCAAAACAGCATATAAATATAGATGTTGTTTTCTAATATATATTTTTACACAGTGTACATATTATATATATATATATATTTATTCACAGGGATGGCCCCATGAAAACATGGTGTTGCATGTATCAGTGTCAGAGTGTTGTTTGGGGCTCGCGCCCTACAGCTCAGACTAAGATTTTGCCTCTGATAGTTGCATCCAGCAGGCTCCATGCGGCACAAAGAGCAGCGGCGTGGCCATAGCGCAAAGCCAGCCTCGTGGCCAGAAGCGCTACGCATCGAAGGACATAGAAGGGAGTTGGCACACCAAGTACCGGTGCTTCATGGTGCTTCTATCCAACAAACTCAATATGTTGCGTTGGTTGTGGACCTTCTTGACTAATGTGCTGTCAACTTGCAAATGATGGGAGATGATGGCAGGAGGTCCTAGCAGGTCGGACATACGAGTAGGAAGCGCCCGAGAATATAGCCATGCACGCCCTTTCCCAATGGCTTGAAAATTTCCCACGCCAGGCGCGAGCTCTGCAAAATCTTATATGCGGCCCAGTTGGCCGATCTGCTGCGCATTATGCTCTTGAAGCGTTGGCAAATTAGCTCATTCTACCCGCAACTCCCGAGGGTTGCCGCCCCCTAGTCCACCCCGCCAGGGTTTTGGTTCAGGGCTTAGGCTTTACGGCAAAAAGGTTCAATGTTCAGACTTAGGGTTTAGCTTTAGGGTTTAGGTTGGGGTTTAGGGCGAGGACTTAGGGGTTGAGTTAGGGTTCAGGGTTCAGGTTTAGGGTTTAGGCTTAGGGCTTTGGTTTAGGGACTCGGTTTGGGGTTTAGTTTTAGATCTCAAGTTTAGGGTCCAGGAAGTATCGACCGGCTTTGTCCGAACGGCACCTTCGTCTCTGCCTTTCGACGAGCCGAGCTACGCCTCTGACTGAGGTGTTTAGGTTCGGGCCTTGGGGCGTTGCTGTGGGGCGCAGGGAACCCTCACAGGCTGGCCGTAATTCTAGGAAATACAATGGAGCTCCCAATCTGACATTTACGGAGCCGTGCCTCCTGTTAGCATCCAGCCGTTTTGGCACATCTTTACACTTCTCTAGCTCACCCTCATCATTTCCAAGCCGAGGGGCACAAAGCCCCGCAGTGCCTGCCGCCGCGCCTCAGTGTCCCCCTCAATAAACCATCCGCCTGTCAGTCCTTTAACAGGTAGAGGACAGGTGTATTACGCCAAGAAGCCCTTGAAGCCAGCATTTGCGCCTACTCTGAGGCAGACATCAGATCTTCTAGCATGTAAGAAACCGCGAACCTGTCTGTCAGACTTTTTCGACAAGGCCCAGTTTGGTGGG